AAAGTTTATTGGGGTGACAATAGTTCATAAAGTTACATAGGTTTCAAATGTACAATTCTGTAATACATCATCTATATATCACACTGTGTGTTCACTACCCAGAGTCAGTTCTCCTTCCATCACCATATATTTGATCCCATTTACCCTCATCTACCACCTTCCTCCCTCCTTACCGTCTGGTAACCACTAAACTATTGTCTGTGTCTATGAGTTTTTGTTTATTTATTTGTTTGTCTTGTTACTTTGTTGTTTTTAGTTTTACATACCACATATCAGTGAAATGATGTGGTTCTCAACTTTTTCTGTCTGGCTTATTTCACTTAGCATAATGATCTCAAATTCATCCATGTTGTCGCAAATGGCACTATTTCATCTTTTCTTATGGCAGAATAATATTCCATTGTGCATCACTAATCATCAGAGAAATGCAAATAAGAAGAACAGTGAGATATCACCTCACACCTGTTAGAATGGCTATCATCAACAAGACAAATAATAGCAAGTGTTGGAGAGGCTGTGGAGAAAAAGGAACCCTCATACACTGTTGGTGGGAATGCAGATTGGTGCAGCCGCTATGGAAGACAGTATGGGAGTTCCTATAAAAATTAAGAATAGAATTATCATATGACCCAGCAATCCCTCTCCTGGGTATCTACCAAAAAAATCTGAAAACATTTATCTGTAAAGATATATGTGCTCTGATGTTCATTGCAGCTTTATTTATGGTGGCCAAGACATGGAAACAATCAGTGTCCTTCAATAGATGATTGGATAAAGAAGATGTGGTATATATACACAATGGAATAAATATACATTTGACCTTGGGCCAAATATTGGATACCTGAAGTCCAGGTGTGGAGAGAGCTCAATGATCAGTCTGCAGATACAAGTTAGCTGGCATGGGGTGAGCTTAAGAAAAGAGCCTCTTAGACTTGAACAGTGGTTCTTAAAGTGTAGTTCTCAGACCAGCTGCATCAGCATCACCTGGGAACTTGTCATAAATGCTAATTATCAGGCCTCATCCAAGATTTATTGAAGCAGAAACTGCCTTAAAGGGACTCTGGTGCATGATGAAGTATGAAACCCATTACCTTGGAGTACTGAAGAAAGTAGCAAATAGAATTCAAGAACCAGGGTTCAAGAACCAGACAGTGTTCCCCCAGGGAGCCCAGGGCAACCCCACATCACAGTAGTGTATAATGATCCTTTCAAGGCAAGGCATGATGAAGCCTCCTGGTTGGAGTGGTGGTGGGGAATGAAAAAAGAGGGCAGTGGCTTCAGCGGTGTGGTCTCTAGGGGAGAATCTCTTCGTCCTTGCACCTTGCCACACTTTCCCAGAAGACTTCTTTTTAAGAACTGCTAAGGGAAGCTCATCAGAGGGTCCTGAGATAAAGCAGGTAGACTGGATATGATAGTGCACTGCCCATAGCTTTTTGTTTTCACCAAGTACCTGAAACTGTCACTAAATTTCACTGTGAGGAAGATGGGAAGAAAAGTAACATTAATTGAAGGTCCTTAAAGTATTGAACACTGTGCTAAGTGTTCACAGAAATGATAGCTTATTTATTTCCCAATATTCCAGTCATGGAAGTATTGTTGTTCCTATTTTACAGATGAGGAACCAGAGGCTTACAAAGCTTAAGTGAGTTGCCCAAGGACACACAGTTCAGAAAGATACAAACCCTGGTTCTTTCTGACTCCAAATTCCATGCTTCTCACACTAGACAGTGTTGCCCCTAACGTGAGGGTAACTGTGATCCTCTCATCTTTGTAGCACTCCCAGGGCCATACCTTTGTGATTGTCCATACACAGGTAACCTTGAAATATTACTTGAGAATATGAATAAATGAAGAGATTGGTTAGTGACAGAATTTAAGTCTTGATGGACTCTTAGGCACATTCTGGTCTTGTGCTTCTCAAACATCCTTTCATTGACATTGAGATTGTTTGATGGTACTCCAGGATTAACCATTGTCTGGGTGGGCAGGCACATAGGTCCTCTCAGCCCTGCTCATCTCCTTTCTTCCTCATAGCCTTACCAGAAGAGCTCCACTTTCATTTTCCATACATAGCGGGTGTTTACTTAAGATTCTGTTTAGGAAATAGTTCTGCTGCCAAAAATAATTTTGAAAAATGACAAATCTAAACTATCTTCTCCACTTTACAGGTGAGGGAATTGAGTGTCATAAAGGCAAACTGCCTTGTCCAGGAATACTGTGTTTTCTTTAGTAGCATAACTAGAATTTAGAGCCAGGATTCTTCAAACATTCTTCTTTTTCACCATGAATTGATACAACTTATTTTCTAAGAATGAGGAAATAAGAATTTAAATTTATTTCTTTATTGAAAATTAAGAAGTGATTACTCCTTTTGATCATTTACTATGTGCCAGTCACTGTACTAAATATAGTTCATATGAATAATTTTATTTCAGTCCTCATAACAGCCTTATGAAATAGGTACGATTGTTAACCCCATTTTACAAAAGCAAAACTGAGGTTTAGAAGGATTCAATGAATTTTTCAAAGTCACAGAATCAGGAAGTGTCAGAGTCGGTATTTTTCAATCCAGGATGTCTGATTCTAGTTTCCATCCTCTTAATAACATTACCATATTGTAAATGTCTATATTGCAAAAATAGTTTATAGTGGGGGTTTTCAAACTACAGGTCGTGGGCTAAATCTGGACTGCTGTTTGTTTTTGTAAATTAACTTTTATTGGTACATAGATATGCCCAACATGCTACAATGGCCTATTTTAGTAGTTATGGCACAGGCTGCATGTTTTGCAAATAAAATATTTACTAACTGGCCCTTTACTGAAACAGTTTACCAATCCCTGGTCTATAACTTTCAATTTAAACTTTTTTAAGGTGATGCCTGATGAAAGTCACTAGAAATATATCCAGGATTTGCGGAAGAGGAAGACACTGTGTGCCCTCTCAGTGAATTGCTGAATGAATAATACAAACTCTGAAACTGGCCTAGCTGGCTTCCTGCAGCTTTAACTGTGTTGACTCAAGTACGTCTATCCAACCTGTTTCTTGTGCCTTTCATGAGTCAGAGCAGAGACCTTATCTTTTCCGCTCCCTGTCATAAATGCCTTAGAGCCTGGACTTAGATCCCAGCTTAGTGGGTTTGGTCTCCACCTTCCCCTTTTAGCTTCAAGGTCCACATCTGTGCCAAATGGGGAAAGAGGCAGATAACCACAGGGGCTGCTTTGTCCTGATCCAGCTTCCCTTGATCGCTGAGCATTTTTGAGGAAGCTGAGGCTGGTGGCTTCTCCTTTCTCCCTATTGGTTCTTCTACTTGGCTTGGTCTGCAGTGCAGTCTGTGGGGCAGCTCCTAAGTGTCTATGCACCCTTAAGCACCTCCAGTGGTTTATGGCTCAGACTTTGCCCCACCAGCTCAGTCTTTTAAAGTCCTCCTCCCTGGACCCTGCCCCAGACACTTTAAATCCAGGAGAGAAAAATGTGTCGAGCCTGCGTGGAGAACACTATCTGCTCCTAGCCAAGATCTCCTCATCATAAAGTAAGGATTCTAGGCGGTAGAACTGCCATCATACCTGTTTCCTTCTTATGCCTGGGTCTGGTGGGTAGATATAGTCCCTTTCAAAGAGGTGTGGATGTCTCCATCTTTTGTCCACTATTTACTCTGCACTCATTCTTTCTTTATACTTTGCATATTTGAAACCTCTTTCTCTTTCACTTAATATCAAGAATGTGCCTTCTTCATGGAATGCTATATATGTAAATTTATAGAGCCAAGAGGGTCCGTAGCTAGTTCGTTCAAGGCCCTCATACAAATGAAGACACTTGCCCGGAAAAGAGGAAAGCCTGGGTCAAGCCCACATAGCTGATTACTGCCAGAACAAGCTGGTGCTGAAACTTAGGTCACTTGACTCAGGCCAGTGAGTTTTTTTTTTTTACTACCCTCTCTTTCCAGCAGAAACAAGGATGGCCTTTGGACTTAAAGAAACCCAGACTCCAGTTTCCCAAGAAATATTAGGGCCCATTTTGCTTTTTATTTCAGCTTAGTTTTTTTTTATTATTTAATATTTTCAATTCTTCTGGGTCTTCTTAGTTTTCAGGATGCTGACCTATATTAATCCAGGCTTTCTTCTAGCTGTATCCAGTCTCTTCTATGGAAAATATTGGTAATACAGCCCTAGAGTTTCACTCTTGGAGCTGTTAGAAATGGCAGAAGCAGAGTTAATATTCATTTTATATATATATATACACACATATATATATACATATATATATGTATATATATATAATTTAACAGCAACTGGTGGACAGCAGGCACTCAATAATTGTGAAGTCACTTCCCTAATCTCAAAAGAGCTCTGTTTCTCCTCTAAGCAACACAGTGTGGTAGTGTGGTAGCTAAGAGTCTGGACAGACCCAGTATAATTTCCCCCTTTTTTACTTCTTAATTGTGTGACTTGTATAAGTTACCTTCTCTCTTAGAGCCTGGTTTTCTTTAGTTGTAAAGTAAGAATTAGAGTGTCCATTTCACAGCAGCTCAGGAGACTTAAATGAGGAATGCATGTTAAGTGGTTAACATAGGACCTAACATGCAGAAATTGCTTTGTTTTATTCCTAGTTTTATTTTTCTTTATTATCAAGCAACCATGGCTTCAGGATAACAGGCAAGGCTGCCAACTGTGTTTCACAGCAAGAAGGGAAACAGTTGGTGGGGATGGGGGCTCTTCTCACATCTAGTAACCCTTGCAAAGGGCCCCATTTCGGAAATGTGGCTATTGGAATCTGTCTGTGAGCTTTGACTGGCCCCGCTGACAGTGCATTCTCCTCCCCCTCTCAGCAAAGGCAAACTAGCAAGCTGCGATAACAGAAATGCAGCCCACCCCCTTGTAATTCCTCCTGAGATCCTAACCGGGATTTGGAAAACACCCGGCTATGTTCAAAGAACCATCCCGGGTTTTGTACCAAACCAGGCCGGAACAAGACATTCCAGTAGTTTAGTTTCTGGAAAGGAAGGCACCTAGCACTGCCCTCTCCTTCATTCACCCCGTCCCAGTAACACCCGCCAGATTGGAGCCTTGGAATTAATTTATGAGAAAGGCCCTGTAACCCAGGATACTGACTGAGCAGGGCTGGCAGACTCATGCTGGGGTCTGCAGTTCAGCATCACTAGGCCGCTGACATGAATATGGAAGGGTTTTCTCTAGCAAAGGTAAGCTTTCTTTCCTCTCTTTCCAAACCCTACCTCACTTTACTTTCTCTGTAAAAATCTTTATTCATCTGGCATTTGGGGAATCCTGTACTCCAAATTCAGTTGCTGAGAAATTAGAAGAAGCTTGGCTGGGTGTGTGCAGGGAAGTTAAAGTGGACAATAGACTCCTATTGTTCTTCTCTCCAAAATGGTCAGGAGCACACTGGCTTGACTGTTTCAAGGACAATCCTGGAGTTGTAGAGAATAGTTAGTAATGTGTTCATATTCCATTTCACAGGTTGAAGGGTTTGTTGAGGTGATGGATATGGGGACTCCATAAGTGGGAGGCACAAACACTTAAAAACAACCACTCAGTTTCATATTTTTAAGATCCAGATTGGCATAGAGAAAGCAAATCAATCATAGATGAACTAAGCTATCAGCTCAAAATCTAAATTATTTATCACACTTAGTGTCTAAATAGCAGAAATATTTTAGAAAACATGGGTTCAAATTCTGGCTTTTCCGGTACCTGGCTGCTTGACTTTGAGTAAACCCCTCCACCCCTCTGGCAGTTTTCTGTACATCACATTAAAAAGTTGAAAAATATGGTTTCTAAAGGTCTTTATGGATGTATGAGTCTATACTGCATTCAGTTTCTTACTGAGCATCTATTACATTCCAAGCCCTTTGCTAGGGGCTCAAATATCCATTTTTTGAGCCTCAAAACAATCCTGTGAGATAAATATCATACCATTTGGGGACAAAAAAATGAGGCTCAAATTGGTCAAAGTGACTTGAGAGGCCACATAACTACTACAGGCAAGAGACAGCATTTGAATTCAGGTCTTGTAATTTCAAATTAATATGCTTTCTATGGTACCACAACTGAGGTGTGAGGAAATAAATCAGTCTTCTTAATACAAATGCAAAATATGTAATAAAATCATATTGTCCCAGGGGTGATGATATGCTGGGGGATCAAGAGTCTTAGATTCTAGTACTAACTTTGAGGACTTTAAATGAGTCTTCACTGGGCCTCAATTTCATCATCTTTGACATGCTAGAATACAGTGATAATGATTAAAGAATAATATAAATTGTATTTGTATTATGTGGAATCTTGTGGGGCTTTCAACACTTGCTATTTTCCCTCCCAGTAAAGAAAGGCCTATACTCACTGAAGGTGAGAAAATACCCTTTTGGGGTCTGTTTTGAGTCACAGGGTGAAGAAATGGCCAAAACACATTAAGAAAGCAGAGGACCAAAATAGATGGAGGGTTTTATTATGCTGAGAATGAAGACCAAGACCCCGAGATAGTTCAGCATTCCTGTGATCAGTTGAGCAATCCTTTGTGTAGGATGGGCCTGTCCAGCTCAGTCTAACCCAATTCAGAAAGGGAGATAAAGTGTATGGAGGGGAAGAAAAGAGCATTGTCACATTAAAGGAATGACTTGCAAATTATAGGGAAAACAGTGATGCAAATTGTCATAGATGATGGTGACCAAGACCAGGTGATGTTGGGATGACAGGAAGGTAAGATAAAGGTAGGGGAGGCTTGATTTGTTGTTAGCTGACTTTCTCCCCAGGCTAGTCTCAGTGTAAATTAACTAAACTATGTCTAATTCCAAGTAGAACAAAAATCCATTTATTTATTCATCTCTCTCTCTCTCTCTCTCTCTCTCTCTCTCTCTCTCTCTCTCCTTTCTCCCCTTCTCCCCTTCTCTCCTCTGAGCACATCTTCCTTCTGTCTTCTTTATTTTTTACTTTTTCCTAGGATTCTGGCTCACCTTAACTATTTCAATTGTCCTTTTACCTTCCCATTTTAGTTTTCCTCTTTAGTCTGGCCTTTCTCTAAGACTTAACTCCTGTGGGCTCAGCTGAGAGAAAATAGCCCTGCCCAAGTGAAAAGTTTACATAGGGCTTTCACATCCTTCATCTCATTTGATCTTCATAGCAAACTAACGAGAAGCCCAAAGCAGAGATTATCCTCACGAAATGAGGAAACAGGCTTAGGAAAGTAGGTGACTTGCTCAATGTCATACAACTAATAAACGATGATTCCAGAACTAGAACCTGTTTTTCTAGGGTCTGAAGTCTTTCCATTTTACCATGAAATACCCAAGTGAATCTAAAGGATTTTTATGGGTTTTCCTTTTTTCTGTTTTAATAGTTTATGATAAAACTAAATTAAAAACAACAACAACAATAGCAACAACAAACGCAGCTTTGGGAAGAAAAAATGGAATCTAGTGATTAGAAAGGAAGAAAAAAAATATTTATCAGGTGCCCTGATGCTATCTCTTTCAAATACAACTGAAAACAGTACTTAAACTTAAGTTTATCTGACTCAAAAGTTCTGGTTCCTTTCATTCTATCATATTACTTCCAAAGAGACTAATCTAACCCTATGCATGTGCCTTTATGCTCAGTATATGTTACTGTATACAGTAACTTATGAGTGTGTAATTATTGTGGCTATCCACAAAATGTTAAAGTTTTGGGATCCTGGCAAGTTTCATTTCTAAACTGATTTCCTTATCTGTAATAATAATAGTCACTGATACTTTTTGATCACTTGTGCACTTGAGCACCTGTTTGTGTTCTATGCACTTACAGATCTTTTTTTTTGTTTTAAATTCTCAATTACAGTTGCTTTTTAAATTAAAAAAAATTTATTACAAAACCAATTATTAAAACTCTATAAGCATTTATACAATGCTTGGCTATAAAAAAGAACAAAATCTTACCATTTGCAACAACATGGATGGACCTTGAGAATATTATGCTAAGTGAAATAAGTCAGACTGAGAAAGACAAATACCATATGATCTCACTTATATGTGGAATCTAAAGAACAGAATAAATGAGCAAACAAAACAGAAATAGACTTAGAGATATGGAAAAAAACTGTTGGTTGTTAGATGGGAGAGGGGAAGGGATGGGGGAGAAGGTGAAGGGATTAGAAAGAGCAAATTAGTAGACACAATATAGTCATGGGGATATGAAATACAGAATAAGGAATATAATCAACAATGTTGTAAGGATTATGTAAGGTGCCAGTTGGGCACTGGACTATTCAAGGGGATCACTTCATAGACTGTGCAGATGTCTGACCAATGCATTGTACAGCTGAAGCTGAAGTGGAATGATATTATATGTCAACTATAAGGAATATATATATATATATATATATATATATATATATATATATACAGGAGGTGAAGTACAGTTGCTTTTTAAAACTATTTTTAATTAAAATATAGCTAACATTTAATATTATATTAGTTTCAGGTGTACATCATAGTTATTCAACAGTACCCACCTAGCACTTAACAGATCTTAATTCATTTAATCCTCACACTACTGTGAGATGTAGCTAATAGTATTAATTCCATTTCAAAGATGAAAACACTATGGCTAGAGAAGTGAAGCAGTTTATCAAGTTATACAGCTAGGAAAAGTAGAATCAGGATTTATTTATATAGTTTGATTCCAAAGCTTATGCCCTAGATGCAATGTGGGGAAGACAATACTTATCTCACAAGAGTTTGAGAATTAAATAAGATGGAAGATATGAAAAACACACTGTAAAGTGGAAAGTACTAGGCAAACACTAGGTAGTACTTTGTTTCCCAGATTCTATTGTTTAGCTCTTTTACTCATTAGTCACCACCTTTGCATGCTTATTCGTTGTATACTGAAGATCTGTGCCAATCTCTTCTGGGAATATTTCCAAGTTTACCATGTGCATCTTCAATTGTGAAACTTACCTGAGACAGTTTTCTCCCTTGGTAAGTGAGTTTAAGGTACAATGGCCTTGCTGGCACTTCTCTGAGAAGGAAGTTTGAAGGAGGTCCATGTTGCATTCAGACTTCCATTGAACTAAGGATACTCCCTCCCTGTTGAAGGTTCCAAGGCATGGCTATTTGTTTGCCCATATGTGGTACTATATGTAGGCGCATCTGAATGCACCTGTGTTTCATCAGTGAACGTGAGTATTTGCAAAGTATGAGAGATAGAATGATGTTTTGAGGGCTCTTTATATAATACACCGTTTGTAGTTTCACATTTTTGCATTTTATTATAGTCTCAAACATCCATGCCCCCAAAAAGGTAAGAAAGAACTGTGTAGTCCAGGTCTATTATTTTATGTACGGGGAAATTGAGGCTCACTAAGGTGAAGTAACTTCCTTAAAGTCACTCTGTGAACCAGTGGCAAACTTGAACTAGAGCCAACTGGTGGGAAAATGTATGTTTGTGTCACTTCATTTCACTTTAACAGTACTGTAGCTGTTTATAGTACATCTATAGGGTTTCCATTACTATATCTGGCAATAGATGCACAGAAACTTCTAAGATATGATATCAACTGTCAAAGAGTTTGTAGTCCATTCTGGAAAATAAAGACAGTTCATGAGGCAGCTCATGAGACATAAAGGTAACAATAATACAAAATCGAACAATGCAATTGGGTGCTATAGAGTAAGTAGTCCTTCAGAAGAGAGTAGTATGGAGAAGCTAGAGGGAACCTTCTGGGGCACTTAGGATTTAAATTATCCCTTAGAGTAGAAACATACAATGCATGATGTGTGGGAGACAGTAAGGATAAATTAACAAACTGTAGCTAAGAGGGAGAAGGAAGAGGAAGGACACCAACAGTCACTGTTATGTCCTAAACATTAATTGTACTGGGTCCCTTTCTTGTAAGTTTTCTCATTTATTTCTCCAAAACAGTATTATTATACATACTTCATAAATGAGAAAACAGGTTCAGAGTAGTTAAGTATTACCCAGGGCTATACACTGGGTAATAGCTATACAAGGCTATAACTGGTCAATAGGACATCCAGATTTTGGAAGAGGAACTCAAGTACAGGTTTTCCCCTACATCAAGAAGTGTTTTCTTCCAGATGTCATATGGAAATTAGGGATTAACACTTGCACTATTGCTGTATGTAGAGGGGCCTGAGATTTTGTAAGGAAGTCTATAGTTCTGTTTATTAATCAGGGCAAATATCCACGCTCAACCAATGTAAATATCTGGGAATTTCTTATCTATATGTGAGTCTGTGCATATCTTTGATTTTCTATTTTTGATTAATTGTCTCTATCTCATCTGTTTAGGATGGGGATTTAGTGAAATAATGTATATAAACCACTGAACATGGTGTTTAGTATGTAGTGATCTCTGAATGAATGATAGCTACTATCATTATCATTATTATGAATGATATTGATTAGGTGTATCTTTGCCATTATGAGTATACGTGTCTATTTCTAGAAGTGATCACAATTGCACATAATTGCATATTTCAGAGTGTATAGGGTCTTCCCATATATGGTTATAATTATGGACAAATACATGTTCTCTGTATATATTTACATGAGTGTGCGAGTATGTTTTATGGAAGGTGGTATAGCATGGTGATTAAGAACATAGACACTGGAGCCATAATTCCTGGGCTTACAAACCAACTCTACTGATTGTTAACTATGTGAACTTGGGAAAATTACTTTACACATCTGCTCTGCAGTTTTTCCTTCTGTAATATGGGGATAATAATAGCATCTGTTTCATTGTGTGGTTGGAGCATTAAGTCATTTAATCTAGGTAAAACACTCGGAACAGTGTCTGGCATGCCATGCACACACAATAAATATTGATTTATTATTATTGCTGTTATTACTCTGAAAGTGACAAAGGCTCTGTGTGACAGTGTGGTTCTATATGTAGATGCAAGTGTGTCCATTTCTGCTTTTAGATAAGACAACATATGCCTATGTGTATGCACGTGTATGTGTGTTTATGTTTAGGTTGTCTGTGTTTCTGTGTTTGACTGTAGCTGTGTATTGTGACTGAGTGCTTCATCTCAGCTCCAAGAAGCCTAACCTCCTTGCTGATATACTTGAATGCAAGGCTAGAGGCTTAGTTCTGACTCTGACTCAGGATTGGACCCGTGAAATGGGTTTGTGCAAAGCTGAGAACCAGCAAAGAACATTTCTTCTGAGAAGTTATTATTTTCCTCACATATTGTCATTTGTTTTGTTTCATTTTTCACTTTTTTGGGGAAATATAACACATATAGGGAAGTGCGCAAATACAAGTTCAGACCTTAATGTATTTTCACAAACTGAATACACCCATGTAACCAGTATGTAGATAAAAAACCAGAACATTTTACCTAGAAACGTTCCTCCTCTTCCCTTCCCAGTCAAGGGCAAACACTGTCTTGGCTGCTAAAAGCATAGATTAGTTTTGCCTGATTTTGTACTTTACATAAATGATAGCACAGAGTATGCACTCTTTTGTATCTTCTTTCTTTCTGCAATATTATGTTCATGAGAGGCATCTATATTTTCGTGTGTTAGTTTGTTCTTTGTCATTATTATATAAAATTTCATTGTATGAATAAAATACAATTTACTCATCCATTCTAGTGATCATGTATCACGTCCCACGTGACAAGGGCTGGGGGGCTCGAGGAGAGGTGGTGAAGGGTTAAGAAATCACTAGAGTCAAAAGTTGAGTTTCTGCGCGCCAGGGGTCTCATCTCTGCAGACAGAGAGGAGCCCTGATACTGGTGGGCGTAAAGCTTTTATTTACAATCGTCACAAAGAGGTCAATTTGAATATCTATACCCAGTTAATTGATTCAATTAGACTGGCAGCTGCTTCACGGAAACTCATTGTGATTAAGCATGAGTTTTGTTTTCACACATGCAAATGATCCTCCGGATGGCATCAGCATTCCGAGACCACCTGATAAGGAAGTTTTACCGAGATCATTCCCTCAGGTCTTAGCATTCCAGGCCACTTCCTTATGACTTCAAAGGATCAGTGCGCAGGAGCATTCGAATCGGCAGCTTCAAGGTGACATTCATGTACAAATTTTTTTTTAGTTCAAGTTTATTAGGGTGACAATGGTTAGTCAAGTTACATAGGTTTCAAGTGTACAATTCTGTAATATATCATCTATATATCACAGTGTGTGTTCACCACCCACAATTTTGCTGTTTTCATTTTGAGTCTATGAACATTCTAATAAATGTCATTTGGTGACTTCCCATTTGTTTTTAAATACAATTCTTAGAATTCTTCGAAGATGGAAAGTGGCAACAATGAAAACAGAGGCACGGGGGAAATTAGTGACTTGATTCAGGTACTGAGTGAGTCAGTGGCCCAATCAGGCTTCTGTTGCCTGTTTCCTGATCCTTGACTCAGAGTACATTCTTCTTTCTACACTGCTGAAAAAACTGGATTTAGATTTCTCCTCTGAAGGAAGTTATATATAATTATCAGTACAAGTGACTTTTAAACTTTGCCCTCGAAAGTCCAATGTGTAGAGATCACTTAGTGCATGTTGAACTGAAAGGAATCAGGTAAGGTAGAGACTCTGGGCTAATTGATTTGTAGCTTTCTCAATCACTCGGTCTGGCTCTTGCCCCCTTAGTTTTCCAGACACATGCAAAGCCCCTTTGTTCTCTTTCTTCCATACCAGCAGCTATTCAATTGCCTGTTTCCCAGTGTAATGTGGGCCATGGAGCCAGGCCATCTTCTCTGGGCTCTGCTGTTCATGCAACCCTTGTGGACCCGACTGACTGATGGGGCCACTCGAGTCTACTACCTGGGCATCCAGGAGATTGAGTGGAACTATGCTCCTAAAGGAAGGAATGTCATCACAAACCAACCTCTGGATAGTGACACGTAAGTTTAATCTCTTGTGGAATTAGAGCTGGAGTTGGTGGGACACCCTTGAGGTCAGGAGTTAGCCTCTTGGAAACCTTTTCCTAGGGTTTGGTAGCAACCAGTTCCTGATCTCTCTGGACCATCCACACAGTGGCATGTTTGGTGGGAATAGAGCTAGCTGACTCAAGAGTCAGCATTCTTTATGGAGTCTTCTTTTCTACACTGAGGTTCCTTGACATTTTTAGGGTCTTAATGGTAATTCCATATTCCCTTTATGCTAAGATGATATCCACAATGCTGTTTTATTAACAGCTGTTTAGCTTTGAAAAAAGGAAGAAAGATGAAACATATACAGTGTTTGTAAGTTGTGTGTGGGGTACTATGGTCCTATAGTTCAGAACTATTTCATATATGTGAAAATGTGAAAAAATAAGGTAAGTCTTAGAAGCAAATAAATAACAGTAATAGCTATCACTTATATAACACTTTGTCTGTGACAAACACTATACTAGAAATTTACATATTTTGTCTCACCTAATCCTTACAAAAGCTCTAAGAGGTGAATCTGAAAACCCTCACCTGTTAGATGAGAAGACTGAGGGTCAGGGAGATCAAATAATTTGCTCAAACTCCACAGCTAGTAAATTAAAGAGGTAGGATTTGAACCTGGGTAATGTGGATGCAAAACTGGTGCCCTTCTCACCATTTTGCCTCTCACAGATCCCACAGGATTAACCTTTCTTGATCTTAGAGCCTTGCAGATGTCCCACAGACACCTGTTAAAAATGAATTAATGTATTAAAGGATCTTTTGTGATCATGAATCACTTTGTCTCTCCAAAGCCTCAGAGTTTTCCAAAGTTGACTATAACATCTCAGAGTTCTCTAGGAAGAATTAGAGTAAGATAAACAGCTGTCTTTTTTATTTTGACAAACCATCTCCTTACCCATTTAGTTTTGGAGTCACTGAAGTCTTTGTCTTAAAAGTTTCCTTGAGGGATAACTTTGTTATCACCCACCCCCAATACTTGGAAGTAGTAGTTAACATTTATTAAGATTTTACTATTTTCCAGGCACTGTTCTAAGCTCTTTATGTATTTTAATTATTTTAGTCACCAGTAACAACTGTCCAAGTTTGACACTGTGTTTTTCTCCGTTTTACAGATAGAGAAATTGGGCACAGAGAATTTAAATAAATTGTTCCAAGTTGCACAGATTTGGAAGTGGCAATATTGGATTTAATAAAATTACCCTGGCTCCAGAATTTGAGAACTTATCCACTATGCTATAACACCTCCCATATATAGCAGAACCATGCTAAGTCAGGCCACTTGGGTAGGGAGTTGATTACTTAAAAAGAGCCAGTCCATAGTTGGTTGTTTCTCTATTACTATGTATTAGGTTGTACCACCTGAAATTGCCATTTTTGTAGGTTAAAAGCGGTCAAATGTCAGCAATTTCATATGCTTTAACTTAATAGTTCCCATTGTCTAACAGACTCTAACCTAAAGTTTTTATGTTTTGAACAGTACACTTGCTTTTCCTCTTGTTTTACTCTAAACAAAGATGAACACTTTTTTTGTCAGGCTCCTCCGGAAAATAACCCTCCAAAGGTTTGAAGATTGTGGCAAAATTGTGACTTTCTCTTTCCTTCCTTTCCAGAGTAGCTTCCAGCTTCCTAAAGTCTGACAAGAACCGGATAGGGAGCAGCTACAAAAAGACCATCTACAAAGAATACAGGGATGACTCATACATGCATGAAATGGCCCAGCCTGCCTGGTTGGGTTTCCTGGGGCCAGTGTTGCAGGCTGAGGTGGGAGATGTCATCCTTATCCACCTGAAGAATTTTGCCACTCGTCCTTATACCATCCACCCCCATGGTGTTTTCTATGAGAAAGACTCAGAAGGTAAAACAGCCCACTCTTTATTTATCCTGCCCGCAACAGATATCACTTCTACTTTACTGCCATCTGAGAGAGAGGAGCGGGGAACAAGAACGTTTCTTCCTTATTGATCTGAGGTAGCAGGGATTCTTCTCAGAGAAATCATGGCTAGGTATTGTTATCAGTTCTGCTATTCATATACTTTGTGACTTTGGGCAAGTCACTGCTCCTCTCTGGGCCTCAAATTCTTCATTAGGAATGTAGAGATTCAATCTGCCTTTCATCTATTAATTTGTTTCCATTTGTTTGTTCTGTGATAAATGCAAAGAACAAATTAATGGTTGCCAGATTTTTTTGGGGGGGAGTTGGGGGCTGGGTGAAAAAGGTGAAGTGATTAAGAAATACAAATTAGGAGTTTAAAAATAGTCATGTGGATATAAAGTACAGCATAGGGAATATATTCAATAATATTGTAATAACTATGTATGGTGTCAGGTAGGTACTAGACTTTGTAAGTTATATAAATGTCTAACTGCTATGCTGTACACCTGAAACTAATATAATATTGAAAGTTAATGATCATTGAAAAATAAAAAAAAATATAATCTGCCTTATATCACAAAGACTTACTTGAATGGAATTTCCATAAAATATTTGACTGTGCTTTGAAAAGAGAGGAGTGTTCTCTGAATATAAGGGAGTGTTATTCTGGTGTCACAGTTTCCCAAAAGGTCCTCTTTTTTTCTTAAGAGGGAGTTCAGTTTACACATCTGTATCTCTCACTATCCCCAATAGCCTATAATACTGACACAACAATGACTGAAGGGAATAGAGAGGGAAGTCAGAAAGTCCTGACTTGGCCACTAACTCTCTGTACTTATGGCAGGTTACTTTTCCTCAGTTTTTTCTTCCATAAAATGGGGAAGTCGATCAACTGATCATTAAGTTTTCTTTAAACTGAAATTGAGTGTTTGTTTGCTTTCTGTTTTCCAACGTGAGTGCTGGAAGGGAGGGAATTCTGTCTTCCTTGCCTCCATGCCACTAGTTTGCATGAGGACACTGCTGGATCAGGCTGTGGAGCAGTTTTCATGGCCACAGCTCTTTCCCTGATAGCTGCCAACTCTCCACACATGTTGATGTGAGGTCTGGGGTTCTTTGGCTAGATATTACTTGAATCTATGCCCTCTTCAAGTTGTGAAGAATACAATATTGGACCTTATAACTTTATCTTCCACAAGACTGGACCTAGGTGTCTCATATGTCAGCCCTTTCTTGGCTTCTATATCTTCCAGGTTCCCTCTCACTCACCCTGGGACTGGGCATGTGCAATTTCATTTTCTAGGCTCCCTGTACCCTGATGGCTCCTCTGGTCGGCTGAAAGCTGATGACTCTGTTCCCCCGGGAGGCAGCCACATCTACAACTGGACCATTCCAGAAAGCCATGCACCTACTGATGCTGACCCAGCATGCCTCACCTGGATCTACCATTCTCATGTAGATGCTCCACGAGACATTGCAACTGGCCTCATTGGACCTCTTATCACCTGTAAAAGAGGTATAGGCCCCAAGTCTGAACTATGAGATACAGTTTGGGATATGTACGGGAAGCAGTGATATAGTTAAACCACCTACATATTGAGCAGAAGCCTGAAGAGTGTTAATTTAGAACCCTTGTTTATTAGCAGGAATAAACCCTGCCAACCTTCCTTTCCACTATTATTTTTCTATATTTTTTCTACAAAAAATCCATTTTCTCTTTTTTAATTTTGTTTTCTAATTTCACTTAAAAAAACTCAAATTAGTAATGATAGGAGTCAAGTCACATAAAAGTAAGATATATGGTATATATACACAATGAAATACTAGTCTGCCATAAGAAAAGATGAAATAGTGCCATTTGCGACAACATGGATGGATCTTGAGATTATTATGCTAAGCAAAATAAATCAGACAGAAAAAGTTGAGAACCATATCGTTTCACTGATATGTGGGATATAAAACTGAAAACAACAACAACAAAAAACTGAAGACAACAAAGGAACAAGACAAACAAATAAAACAAAAACTCATAGACACAGACAATAGTTTAGTGGTTACCAGAGGGGAAGGGGGGAAGGGGGTGGTAAATGAGGGTAAATGGGGTCAAATATATGGTGATGGAAGGAGAACTGACTCTGGGTGGTGAACACACAATGTGATATATAGATGATGTATTACAGAATTGTACACCTGAAACCTATGTAACTTTACTAACCATTGTCACCCCAATAAACTTTAATAAAAAAGAGTAAGATATGTGATAAGAGTTTAGTGTGAATAGGATTGAAAGTATAGCCATCAGGATTTGGGACTTGGTTGGAGATAGGGTATGTTTAAGATACAGTCAGGCCTGAAGACCTGGGTCTGGCAAAAGTGTGGTCAGTTTCAGGCCCTGGGTTGAAGACATACACAGGGATGGTGGGAGGGAATTAGTCTTGATCCTATGTGCCCACCTTCAAGTTCTAGGCTCAACTGAATTGATGGTTTTATTTGAAGAATTTGGAAATATAAATTAGTAACAAAAGGCTCCATCTGCTTTTCTGTTGCTGACAGAATCTTAAAGCCCCCCTCTCTTTTTATATCTTTTTTATGAGTACCCCTTGAAGCTCACTCTTGCTAAAAATAGGAAGTTCTCAAACACATCTTTCTTACTTGCACTAGGAACGCTGGATGGTAACTCCCCTCCTCGGCGGCAAGATGTGGACAATTATTTCTTCCTGCTCTTCAGTGTGGTAGATGAGAATCTTAGCTGGCATATCGATTACAACATTGACACTTACTGCTCAGACCCTGCCTCAGTGGACAAAGAAGATAAGGCCTTTCAGGAGAGCAATAGGATGCATGGTGAGCTGGGAGGCAGGGGTGACACTCTGACAGTGAACACTAATGAAGGGTCTCCACTGGGCGGAGCATTTGGTGGGTGCTTTCACATACCTGGTCCTTTTTAATCCTCATGAGGACCAGGAGTAGTAGGTAGCTTTACACTTTTTTACCTATGAGGAAACTGAGGCTCCAGGATTACACAGCAGATAAACAGCACAGCTAAAATTCCAACCTTGATCTGTCTGACTGCATACTGTGCTCTTGTCATTAGGTGCCATGCCTCCTCAATGTGGAATAGTCCAGGCTGTTGACTCCAAAATCATATACTATATGCTTAGTCACTGGTGAGGGTTGTCCACTGATATAATTAGTTAATATTTCTTTGTTCTAAAAAGGATGCAAGTTGGAAGAATTTCTCCACTTTGTGGAGAAAAAAATATTGCCTATAATATAATAGATTATCTTAATAAAATTTCAAATGAACTAACAAGGCACAAAAGCCCTGAGGCATGAGTAGAGAAGTGATTTTGGGATAGAAATAAGTTGACTTTGCTTTGGTTTAATTAAGAGAGTGACTTACCTTTGGTGACAAATGTGGGCTCAAAGCCAGACAGTCCCAAGGGGAAGCAAAATCTCAGAGGGAAGCTTACTGTGAAGGAGGGGTTGGACAACTCAAATTTCTCTTGAATTTTATACCAATTGCTTATAATACCCATGGTCATTAGTCACTTGACCTGTGGAAATTTTAGAAGGAAATTGTCCTAGAAGAATAAGAATAACTTACAAAATAAACCCCATTCCTTAGAAAGCTTCCTTGGATTGCTGGGTTGGAATCTTGGCTCTATTACTTAATAGCTCTGTGACCTTGACAGGGAAGTAATTTTACCTCTCTGAGCCTTGCTTTTCTAATTGTTTGCATGACAACATTGATATTTGCCTATCTCCCAGGATTGTTTGTGAGATTTAAATGAGATAATACATATTGTCAGCACAGTGTGCTCTTTAAAACCTCATCTAAATGTTATATTTTATTATTGTCAAATGGTAAGGCTTTTTCCTTTGAGCTGCCTTTCCCTAACTCTGATATGTTCTTTGGGTTTCAATTTTCAGCAATCAATGGCTTTGTATTTGGGAACTTACCAAAACTGAACATGTGTGCACAGAAGCGTGTGGCCTGGCACTTGTTTGGCATGGGCAATGAAGTAGATGTCCACACAGCTTTCTTCCATGGACAGATGCTGACCATCCGGGGCCACCGCACTGATGTGGCTCACATCTTCCCAGCCACCTTTGTGACTGCTGAGATGGTACCCCAGAAACTCGGTGTCTGGTTAATTAGCTGTCAAGTGAATAGTCACTTGCAAGGTGAGATCCAACCTCTCTGACCTTTGAGGTATGGGAGGAAGGTGGCAATGTGGCCAAAAGGAGCCTGGGCTTTTGGCCTGGATCATAAGATAAGTCTTTCAGGTGAGACAACTAGGAATAAAGGATGAAACACTAGACTAGAGTTCTGGGGACCCAGGATCTTTTCTGGCTCAGCCATTAAATTGCAGGGTGACCTCAGGCACATCTCTCAGGGCTTCATCTTCTTCATCTCTAACATAAAATAGTATAGGGATGGATAAGTGGACTTTTAAGCTGCTGTTTGTTTGTTTGTTTTCTCAGAATCCTAAGGAATTAAGACATGGGGGGTATTTGCAGCTGATTGAACAGGGAGTAAAGGAGAGATCAGTTAAAGAAGAGTAAGGCTTTTGCAGGAGATCATGGAATATTGTGGGCAAGTGGTGACACTCTAGGGGACTCAACATAAATAGGGGTAGAAGGTTTGGTTTTCAGAGGGTGAATGGTTGAAGCAATGGCATAGTACATTGAGGAGCATCAAAGGTGAGGAAGAACTTATGGGCAATGGAAAGAGCAGATAGGTGATTAGATAGTTTTAGTTATTGTCTCAGCTCCGAAAAACTCACTGTAATAACTTTGGAAAAGTCCCTCCCATTTCTAGGCCCCATTTGCCACATTTATAAAATGGGAGATTTGGTCTAAATAGTCTCTAAGATCCTCTTCAGCGCTCCCTTTCTAGAACTGTTTGATATATGGTAAAGTAAGTGGATGCCAGGAAAGTGATATGTGAGTATGTGAAAATGAATTTGAGTAGGTGAGGAGTTATAGACTGGTGGAATAATGAATCTGGGGTGGAAGGTTTTTCCCAATAGGGGCCAGTTACCCATGCTTCATAATCCAGGGTCTTCCCTTGGTCCCAAAGCTATCTGGGTGAGTATGAATACAGATGGAGGTTAGGAATGCAATGCAATAGTAGAACAAGAATGGGCCTAAGAGCCCTACAAGCCTGGATTCAAATCCTGGTCCCACCAGTTGCTGAGTTAACTTTGGTAAGTCATATCACTTCTCTGGGCCTCTGTTTCCTTATCTGAAGATTACAATAATGATTCCTACCTCATTAAGTTGTAATAGGGTTTCAGAGCAATAATGTGATTTTGAATCTTAGAGACCAGGGGAACGATGAGACCAAAATAGTAGATATCAGAGAAGAAAATGAGCACTCAAATTTGCAGTTAAAGATAGGAGCTTAAATGTCAACTCCACCAGTGACAGCTGAGTTATCTTGGGAAAGTTACTTAACCTCTCTGATCCTTAGTTGTTTTTTTTTCATCTGGGAAAGAAGATATTGAAAGTCTGTTTCACAGGGTGATTATGAGGATTGAAGGAGACAACATATGTAAAGCACCTGATGCAGGGTCTGGCATATATACATATTCAGTAAAAATGAATATCCTTTCCTCATCTTTCTTCGTATCTCAGATTTCTATTTTACAATTTCAAATATCCTTGGGATGTTATGAAACTCAAATGAGATAATGTATTTAAATAACCTCTATAATTTGCCAAGCAAATATAAGGCAGTATCATCAATTGCCACTATACCTCAGTGTAACATTTTCCACATTTTGGAGACACTATTTAGCATCTACATTTTCCTGAAAGTCCTAATTCTGAAGCTTCATCTCCACATATAAAATATGTTTCATTATTTGGGGAGATTCCCTCTTTACAAATCACTTACTCCTCTTTGTTTAATTTGATGCTCCCGCTAGACCAGTATGGTAGATTTCCCATTCTCCTCATTTACAAAACAGGCATTAAAGTTCAGATCTTGGAATTAACTTGCCTAAGGTCCTACAGATAGTGATAAGGATTGGACTTGTACTCAGGTTTTCAGACTTCAAGCTTTGTGATATTTGTACAATGTAAGCCTTTTGCAGATGCAGGAGTGATTGAAGATCTGGTAAATGAGTCAGTGCTGGTAAGCAGGTGGAGGTACTGAATTCCCATTTGGGCTCCCTCTGTCCCAGTCAGCCTCATAACGAGTGAGAGAAAATAGTCCATTTGGAAGCAAGGGTAAAGAGCCTAGTGAAGGATGGGAGGAGGAAACATTAGGAGGAGGAAGGTGGGTCTGTAGAAGATCTGTTGAGTGAAACGGCCATGATGTTCTTCCTCCAGATGGCATGCAAGCACTCTACAATGTCAAGTCTTGTTCCATGGCTCCTCCCATGAACCTACTAACAGGAAAAGTCCGGCAGTACTTCATTGAGGCCCATGAGATTCAATGGGACTATGGCCCAATGGGGCATGACGGGAGTACTGGGAAGAATTTGAGGGAACCAGGCAGGTAAGAGGTAGTGGGTTTTATCTCCCTACTCCTGTGCCCAGCCCCAAACACCTATTGCTCCCTCTCAGAAATCTCTCAGTTTTACTTGGGTATCAAAATCATTGTCTGACTGGAGTTACATGATACAACTGTTAACCAAGTTCTTTTGCTCCCCTGAAAAGCTTGCTTTTGGGGAGCTACAAAGCTTTCTGTAGGGTTATGCCATATCCACAGCAAAAGGTTCTAGCAGTGTTTGAAATTAGTCCTGCTATAATCCCAAGATCATCTGAAATGGCATTTCTCAAACTCTCCTTTATTTTAACCATTATTTACCTCCTTGCTCCTTTCTTCCTTTCCCATAGTCTGAAGGAGGCATTTCAACAGGAGTATAAAAAGCACTCTGAGAAATGTGGGAAGAAGGGAAGCAACCTGCATGGTGGCCATTCCAAGCCCATCCTTTTGTAGGAATTTCACCAAATTCTTCTTTCTCATCCATGAGTCAGATTGGGCAAGATAGAGCAGATTAGTGCCCTATTCGGTTGCTAGGCATTAAGTTATACCTACTCACTGACCTATCCGTGATTTCAGGCCTTTCACAGAAGAGGCACTTGGTAGGTGACTAAGAGAGTTTGGGGCAATATCCTAAGGCACCCATCATGTTTATTCTTCCAGCAAAAAATAATGGAATGAATTTGCAGAAAACATAGGAAAGTAGGCACTTGGATCTCATCATGGCTTCTAGAATCTCCAACTGGTTTTGCTAAGTTAGTGAGCTTTCACTTTGGAATTAAAGATATTTTTATTAGGGGGAGAAAGGATCTTGAGTACCTAAAGATGATTAAGGACAGGTGTAAAGTTAGGTAACTTAGGAGGGCAGAACTGGTGCTAGTGTCTGGAACTTATAAGCAAGACTATTTCAACCTACTATTTTTTTAAAAAAACCACTCCAATCATTAAAACTATTCAACTGTAAGATGGATTGGTTTCTCTGAAAATGAGTTCCCTGACCTTGGAAAGGCTGAAGTAAAAGCTGCTTCTTATTTATTAGTGGTGTCACCAGAGGAGATAACTTCACTGGGTGGAAGCTAACCCTGGATGATCTCTGAGGTCTTTTCTAACCATAAAGATCCATAATTTGATGAGACCAAGGGTGAGATGGCAGTCTATTTGATACATAATTACATCATGTGATGTTTGCTTCCTTATATACCAGTGGTTCAGAAAAGTTCTTCAAGAAGAGTAACAGCCGAATTGGGGGCACTTACTGGAAAGTCCGATATGAAGGCTTCCAAGATGAAACATTCCAGGAAAAGGTTCAGTTGGAGGAAGATAAGCATCTTGGAATCCTGGGTGAGGAACCTTTAACTTATTAAATTCATTGACTGGAGCCAAAGAACTAGGGAACACTTAGAAACTGGAGCCTGGGGATAGCTCAGAGGCACACTCTAGATCAGCATCTCCCAAAGTGAGTACCAAGAGATGGGTATTTTGTGAAAAAGCGTTATCTGTCTGTGTGTTTACAAAACTCTAGGTTAAACATAGTCAAATGAAACATAGTCAAATAGTGTTCTTTGCTGCAGGGCTACTCAGAACGTTGGATTTATTATTATTATTATTATTATTATTATTATTATTATTATCATCATCATCATCATCATTATCATGAATCTCCAAAAATATGTAGCATTTTGCATACTTACTTTACTACTGAATATTTTTTCAGTGAACATCTTAGAATTTCCAGTAATATGCGTATGTTGAAAAGAAATGGTGAAAGCAGGCAACCTTGCCTTGTTCCTGATCTCAGAGAAAAGCTTTCCATTTTCCAGCATTGAGTATTGTGTTTGCTGTGGGTTTATATTATGTTGAGGCAGTCCCCTCTTATTCCTAGTTTTTTAAAAATGTTTTCATTAGGAAATGGTATTGAATTTTGTTAGATGCTTTTTCTGCAATAATTGAGATGATTATGTGTTTCTTTTTTCATTCATTCTGTTAATATAGTGTATTACGTTGATTAATTTTCATATTTGAAACATCCTTGCATTCCAGGAATATATCCCACCTGGTCATGGTATATAATCCTTTAAATATGCTGCTGAATTTGATTTGCTAGTATTTCATTAAGAATTTTTCATAAAATCCTATTTGAACCCAAGGCCCATAAGTTTAGTACTTATGCTGTCTTCTATGCAGTTTATCATTTCAGGTCTTATGTTTAGGTCTTTGATCCATTTTTTAGTTAATTTTGGTAAATGGTGATAGATAGCAGTCTAGTTTAATTCTTTTGCATGTGGGTTTCCAGTTTTCCCAGCACCATTTATTAAAGAGGCTGTCTTTTCTCCATTGTATGTTCGGCTCCTTTGTAAAAAATTATCTGCTCATATATATGTGGGTTTATTTCTGGGGTTTTCATTCTATTCCATTGGTCTATGTGTCTGTTTTTCTGCCAATACCATGCTGTTCTTATTACTGTTGCTTTGTAGCACAAATTGAAATCAGGGAGTGTGGTACCTCCAGCCTTGTTCTTTTTTCTTAGGATTGCTTTGACTATTCAGAGTCTTTTGTGATTCCATATAAATCTAATGATTATTTGTTCTATTTCTTTAAAAAAATGCCATTTGGGATTTTGATGGGGATTGCATTAAATCTGTATATTGCTTTGGGTAATATGTTCATTTTAACTATGTTGATTTATCCAATCCGTGAACACCGAATATCTTTCCATTTATTTGTGTCTTCAATTTATTTTCAAAATGTTTTACAGTTTTCAGTGTATAGGTCCTTCATATCCTTTGTTAAGTTTATTTCTAGGTATTTTATTCTTTTTGTTGCAATTGCAAAAGGAATTGTTTCTTTTTTCATTTTTTCCCCTGAAATTTCATTGTTAGTATACAGGAATGCAATAGATTTTTGTACATTGATTTTATGAATCTGACCTCAAAGGCAAGGGAACCAAAAACAGGAAAAAATAATGAATGGGACTATATCAAATGAAACAGCTTCTGCACAGCAAAAGAAACCATCAACAAAACAAAAAGGCAACCAAACAAATGAGAGAAGATATTTACAAATAATGCCTCAGATAAGGGACAGATATCAAAACTATATAGGGAACCCATACAACTCAACAACTAAAAAAACAAACAATCGAGTTAAAAAATGGGCAGAGGACCTGAACGGACACTTCTTCCAAGAAAAGATATAAACAGCCAACAGATTTATGAAAAAAAATGCTCAATTTCACTAGAAATTAGGAAAATGCAAATAAAAAACACAATGAGATATCACATGACATCTGTCAGAATGGCTATCATCAACAAGACAAATAATAGCAAGTGTTGGAGAAGCTGTGGAGAAAAAGGAACCCTCATATATTGCTTGTGGGAATATAAATCAGTACAGCCACTGTGGAAAATAGTATGGAGGTTCCTCAAAAATTAAGAATGGATTTACCATATGACACAGCAATCTCTTTCCTGGGTATCTACCCCAAAAATCTAAAAACATTTATCCATAAAAGTATGTGTATCCCAATGTTCATTGCAGTATTATTTATGGTGGCCAAGACATGAAAACAACCAAAGTATCCTTTGATAGATGATTGGATAAAGAAGATGTGGTATATATACACAATGGAATACTACTCAGCCATAAGAAAAGATGAAATACTGCCATTTGGGACAACATGGATAGATCTTGAGATTATTATGCTTAGCAAAATAAGCCAGACAGAAAAAGTTAAGAAACATATGACTTCACTCATATGTGGGATATAAAACTAAAACCAACAAAGGAATAAAACAGGCTTTTAAACCAAGATGGCACAATAGGTAAACACTGTGCTTACCTTCTCTCACGACCACATCAAAACTAAAACTAAACTGCAAAATAACCATCATTGAGAATTGCCTGAAATCTTGCTGTACCGAAGCTCTCCAACTAAAGATGTGCAGAAGAAGCCGTCTCAAGACTGGTAGGAGGGGCAGAGATGTGGAATGGGCTGGTCCCACACCCGTGTGAGACCATTAAAGATTGGGAGGGATATTTCGGCTGTGGAGATCCCTCCCCACTCTCCAGAGGAGCGAGAGGTCCAAGCCAACGCCATCCCAGTGTGCCAGTGCTGGGGAGAGAAGTACCCAAAATTTCTGGTTGTGAAAACCAGCAGAGATTTTGACTGAGTGAGACAGAGGGTGGCTGCACTCCCAGGCACTCTTCTTAAAGGGACTGTGCGTGGATTTACCCACCGATGGAATCACTAGCTCTGAGCTCCAGCTCTAGGGCAGCAGCTGGAAAGGTGGCAGGGACATATGGTGGGGAAATGAGTTGTCTGTCTAGGGATGGGGTTGGAGAGGCGGCTTTATCCTGGACAGAGGAACTGGTAGAAGCCACTCTTTCTTTGTTGAGCCCTCCTCCTTCCTGGTGTGCAGATGCAGGCAGTGCACATTCCCCACCCCCTGGCAATTGGAGACCCCGCCCCACTCTGCCCCGCCCAAATTTCAGGCATGCCCAAGCCATTTCCAGTGACTTTTTCATGCAAACCTCCTGCCTTAGCTCAAGCTTCAGACTTTCCTAGGGTCTCTCAAAGGTTTGTGGAATCCAGACATGTAGCACCTGGCTTGAACATGTTCTGTACCTCTGTCTGAGCCCTAAGCCAGCACTAGTGATAGCTGGCCTTGGTTTGTGGCTTGGCCTCTCAAGGCACATCCAACCATTGCACTGGTGGCAGTCATCTGCTGATTTCCTTGTGGTTCCTGCCGGGTGGCCCCAGGTGGGGCACGGGCTGTGGCTGAAGTAGATCTACAGCAGATCCCCTCCAAGGTGGTCCTGGGGCTGGTGTCCCCAGTGACCAGCTTCAAAATAAGTTGGAGCATCACCAGCTGCCTTCAACTACAACACACCCAAGGGGTGAATTGGGCAGGCACCAGAGTCCTGCTGAGGCAGATCCTTCTCAGTAGGGTCAGCCCATGCACAACAGTTCTTCCACTGTAGTCAAGGTCAGTCCTCATAACTAGTGAGCCCAAGGGTCAGTCCCTCCCATTGATGTGCAATTATTAACTGAGGCTCAACTATAAAAGGAGGGCACACACAACCCACACAAGGGACACACCTGGAGTGCATGGCTCAGGTGACCAGAAGACTGCATTACTGAGCCCCACAGCACATCTACTACATAAGGCCACTCTACTAAGACCAGAAGACATAGTGGCCCTACCTAATACATAGAAACAAATACAAGGAGGCAGCCAAAATTGGGAGACAGAAATGTCTCAAATAAAAGAACAGAACAAAGCTTCAGAAAAAGAACTAAATAAAATGGAGTCAAGCAATCTATCAGATGCAGAGTTCCAAACACTGGTTACAAGGATGCTCACTGATTTCAGGGAGAACTTTAACCAAAAAAATCAGAAACATAAAAATAGAAATAGAAAACATGAAAAAGAACCAGTCAAGAATGAAGAATACAATAATGGAAATGAAGATTATATTACAGGGAATCAACAGTAGATTAAATGAAGCAGAGGATCCAACCAGCAATGTCGAAAATAAGGTAGCAGAAAACATCCAACCAGACCAGCAAAAAGAAAAAAGAATAAAAAAACTCAGGAGAGTTTAAGGAGCCTCTGGGACAACATCAAGAGTACCAACATTCACATTATATTGGTACCAGAAGGAGAAGAGAGAGAGCAAGGAACTGAAAACCTATTTGAAGAAATAATAACAGAAAACTTCTCTAACCTGGTGAAGGAAATAGATATACAAGCTCAGGAAGTGCAGAGAATCCCAAACAAGTTGAACCCAAAGAGGCCAACACCAAGACATATCATAATTAAAATGCCAAAAGTTAAAGACAAAGAGAGAATCTTATAAGCAGCAAGAGAAAAGCAGTTAATTACCTACAAGGGAGCCCCCATAAGTAACTCATCTGACTTCTCAATAGAAATTTTGCAAGCCAGGAGGGGTTGGCAGAAATATTCAAAGTGATGAAAAGCAGGGACCTACAACCAAGATTACTCTACCCAGAAAAGATATCATTTAGAATTGAAGGACAGATAAAGAGCTTCCCAAACAAGGAAAAGCTAAACCAGTCATCCCCAAACCAGTATTACAAGGAATCTTAGAAAGACTTTTTTAAGATGGGAGGGAGGTTAGGGATGGGTGAAAAGGAAAGGGATTAAGAAGTACAAATTGGTTGTTACACAGTAGTTGTGGGGATGTAGGATATAGCATAAGGAATATAGTCAATAATATTGTAATAACTATGTATGGTGACAAATAGGTACTAGATCTATCAGGGTGATAGATGGGAATGGGTTTGGGGAGGGTGAAAAAGGTGAAGGTATTAAGAAATACACATTGGTAGTTACAAAATAGTTATGGGGATGTAAAGTATAGGGAATACAATCAATAATATGGTAAAAACTATATATAGTGCCAGGTGGTACTAGTAAGGGGGATCACTTCTTAAATTATATAAATGTCTAACCATTATGCTGTGTACTTGAAACTAATATAAAATGATATTGAATGCCAACTCTAATTGAAAATTTAAAAAAGGGGGGGAGATCAATAATACTGTGATAGCATCGTCCAGTGTTAGATGGTTGCTGAACTTATCATGGTGATCACTTCTTTAACATAGGGAATAAAATCAATAATGTGGTAACAACACTGTATAGGGCTAGGTGGGTACTGTTGAATAACTATGATGCACACCTGAAACTGATATAACATTGTATGTTAGCTGTATTTTAATAAAAAATCTTTTTAAAAAACCCCAAAGGAACAAAACAAACAAAAACTCACAGACACAACAGTTCAGTGGTTACCAAAGGGTATGTGGGGGGAGGAAGAGAGGGTTGACAGAAGAGAGGAAAAGGGGATCAAATATATGGTGATGGAAAGAGAGCTGACTCTGAGTGTGAACACACAATGCAATACATAGATGATGTTTTATAGAAATGTACACTTGAAACCTATATAATTTTACTACCGAATGTCACCCCAATAAATTTAATAAAAAATAATTTTTTCATCAATGATTTTAAGGGATATTGGTGTATAATTTTCTTGTAATGTCTTTCTCTGGATTGGGGTACATGGTAATGCTGGCTTCATAGAATGAGTTCAAAAGTATTCCCTCCTCTTCAATGTTTTTGAAAAGTTTGAGAAGAATTGGTATTAGTTTTTTAATGTTTGGTACAAATCAGTGAAACCCTCAGGCCCAGGGCTTTTAAATTTTGTGAGACTTTTGTTACTGATTCAATCTCCATGCTAGTTACAGGTCTATTCAGATGTTCTATTTTTTTATGATTGAGGCTTAGTAGGTTTTCTGTTTTCAGAATTTGTCCATTTTCGTCTTGGCTATTCAATTTGTTGGTGTACATTTGTTCATAGTACTCTCTTACAATCTCCTTTATTTCCGTAGGATTGGTATTAATATTTACACTTTCATTTTTTATTTTAGTAATTAGGGTGTTCTGTATTTTTTTCTGAGTTCATCTAGCTAAATATTTGTTAATTTTGTCAATTTTTGGAAAAATCACCTTTTGGTTTTGTTGATTTTCTTTGATGTTTCACTATTCTCTATTTCACTTATCATTACTCTAATATGCTTCCTTTTTTCTGCTATGTTTTGGTTTACTTTATTTTTCTTTTCCAGTTCCTTAAGTTGTAAAGTTAGGTTTTTGATTTAATATCTTTCCTTTGTTGTTTTTGTTTTTAATGTAAGTGTTTATAAATTTCCCCCTTACCACCATTTTCACTGTATCTCATGTTTTGGTATATTGTGTTTTATTTTTTTGTTTTCATTTTTGTTTGCTTCTAAGTATTTTCTTATTTCCTTTTGATTTATTCTTTGATCCATTGGTTGTTTTAAAATGTATTGTTTAACTATTGCAATTTTGTAAATTATCCATTTTTCCTTCTCTTATTGATTTCTCACTTCATCCCATTATGGTAGGAGAAGATGATTTGTATGTTATTTTTAAAAATCTATTGAGGCTTAATTTGTGACCTAACATATTGTCTATCTTGGAAAGTTTCCCATGTGCACTTGAGAAGAATATGTACCCTGTTGTTGTTGGGTACAGCGTTTTATATATATTAGATCTAGTTGGCCTATTGTGTTGTTTAAATCTTCTATTTCCTTACTCATCTTCTGTCTGGTTGTTTTATCCATTATTATGAGTGGGGTATTGGTCCCCAGTCTTGAACAGAGGTGGAACATTAGAGTAGAAACCAAGCCAGAAACTCTGAACTAGGGTTAGAATCAGCATAAGTGTTCAGGTTATTGTATTGACATTTCTGGTTGGTCTCAAAGGTGACCTAAGCTAGGTTAGAGGTGGTGGGTAGTGGAGTAAGAAAAGTCCATAGTCAGGGCTAGACTACCTAGTCCAGGGCCTGGATAGAAGATATCAATTTTATCTGCTCAGAATTGGTTTAGGATTAAGGCAATCTCAGATATTCAGATTGGTCCTACCAGGAAATGCAATTATGGGAACGGGGGCAATAAAGGCAGGGGAAATGGAATTGGACCTGGCAGTGGGGTGGGAGAAAGCCCTGACTTTAGGCCCTGTCTCTGTCCCTAATCAGTCATTTGAATTTGAGCAGATCAATTCCACCTCTCTGAGCTGCAGCTTCTTCATTTGTAAAATGAAGATATCCCCTGCCCTGTATAACTTAGAATGATATTTGAGGATCGAAATGATATAATGGACTTTAACATGTTTTTTATAGTTGTAAATTGCAATATACTTGCAAGAGATTATTCTTATTATTGCAAAAACAGGAGTTCTCTTTTTCACTTCCCTTTTCTTCCCTTCCCTCTTTTTCTGTTTTCATCCTCCCTTGCCAACCCTGTTTTCATTTCCATTGTCTCTCCTTCCCATTTAACAGGGCCAGTGATCCGGGCTGAGGTGGGCGACACCATCCAGGTGATCTTCTACAACCGTGCCTCACAGGCATTTAGCATACAGCCTCATGGGGTCTTTTATGAGAAAGACTACGAGGGAACTGTGTACAATAATGGTGAGCAGGCAGCGTTTCCAACTAATGTGGGCTGCAGGTAACAGCAGGTAGCTCTAAAGGACAAATAAATAGGGAAGAGAAGGAGGGAGGAGGAGGCAGAATTAACAGCTATGTGTGGATGTTGTTGAATGAATATTCGATATTATGCAAGGCAGAGCTGGACTCAATAAGAGACCACTTTTAAATATATTTTGATTATAAAAATAACATATATGTATTACAGAATTTTGAGAAACATGGAAAATTATAAAATAAACATCATTCATAGATAAAATGCCCTTATATTTTTATATATCTTTTAATATTTTCTCTGTGCTTATAAAATGTATATATCTATAGATTTGTGATCATGTGGTTTGTACAGTTTTATATCATACTATTTTCACTTACTATTATATTTTGTCCATTTTCCCATTACATAATAATGTTATAAATATTTTGATATCTATATAATACTCCATCACATGGATTTGCCATAATTTATTTACCTTATCCTCTATTGTTTGCACATGTAAATTATTTTTCACTATGTTAGAATATTGTAAATCATGTTGCAATGAATGAATACATACATATGATTTGGATTTCTATCTCTGGAGGGAATCCTAAAGTTGGATTATTGGGTAATTACTTTTTTGTTTTCTCTGAGAATAATATTAACACATGCTAATCCCAAACCAAAAATTTCAAAAATACTGAAAGCATAAAGGGCAAAGTTACAGTTAAATCTAGACTTAAAGACCATTCTACAAGGTAATTGTTATAGCCTCTTCAAGGAGTGAATGTCATAGAGGAAAACGTAAAGCGACAGCACCATGGGCAACATATAAAACTTGTCTGATCCTAGTTATGAAAACTTGCCTTAAGAGACATTTTGAAAATAATTTAGAAAATTTTTGTTATAGACTGGATATTAGATGATATCAGTACATTTTTAGGTGTGATAATGTTATTGTGGTAATACAGTAGATGCTTACTGATATATTTAGAAATAAAATATCATGATGCTTGCATTTTATTTCTAAATGATTTAGAAAAAACAAACAAAAACTGTGTATGTGTATACATGTGTGTGTAGATATACATTTACATAGATGTAGATGAATTAAAGCATGCAAAAAATTAACAATCAACTCCAGGTGGTAGGGTGATTATTGTTCTAACCATTAAATTTTTCTATATATTTCAAAATTTCAAGAGTGAACAATGAGTGAATAAGAAAAGATAAGTTAATAGCATACTAAATTATAACATCCTGTTATAGGTTATACTACAAATACCCTTGTGTATGCTTCTTTGCACACTTTTATGATTATTTCTTCAGGATATATTTTTATGATGTGGAATCGCTATCTGAGCATATACACATTAAAATTTTTGGTACCTACATCCAAATTGTTCTCTGGAAAAATTTGCAGTCCCATCAATTTTGAGTTCCATTAACAGTAACTGAGAGGGGAGACCCATTTTCTTACAATCTCGCCAATATAGGGCAGCCATTTTAATCTTTGTAAAAATGTCAGTCTTGTAGGCAAATGACAACAGTACTCCCTGTTGTTTTGATTTGCATTAGGTTGAATATTAGTTATAGTATTTATTGTATATCTTAACAGTTTTTGTGGGTATGAACCTTTTTAAGGCTTTTGATGCATTTTGCCAACTTTTTTTCCCCAAAAGTTGATTTTCATGTACTCTTTTAATAGCTGAGTGAGAGGGGTAAGTGCTGTCTGAAATGAACAATTTCTCACTGACACTGACTATTTCAACTTGTAAAATCTTGCTAATTTGACAGGCAAAAGTTATCTAACTATTTTATTGGTACTACTTTGATTACTAATAGGCTTGAAAATGTAAAATAATTTTTCTGTGCATTGCTTAACCATGACTTGTGTCCATTTAAGAAATTATAGCTTTAGTGTTTTTCATATACACACATTATATACATACTATATATGAAGGAAAAAGTGTTGAACAATCAGAACCATTAAAAGATGAAACAAGCTATGATGACAGGTAGTGAATCTCCCATCTCTGGAGATTTTTAGGCAGAGGTAGGAATATAAGAGCAAATAAATATATGTTTTCAAATGACGGGTATGTCAAATAAGTTTTAAAGACCCTTTGATTCCTTAGGTTCTATGAGTTTGAAAAAGTTTGGGGAAGTTTAAATTTCCCCAGTTCATATAACAAGGTGTGGCAGAATGAGGAAACAAACTCTAGTGTCTTGACTCCTACCCAGGATTCATTCTAATATTCAATATTCCATGTTCCTGCTGTTCCTGCTGCTGCTCCAAAATACCTTTGCAGTTTATAATCTTTACCTCATTGTTTGGAGCTGATGATCCTCACTCTAGCCAATGTGACTAATGAGACCCATGTTTCCCCTGCAGGCTCATCCCACCCTGGCTTAGTGGCCAAGACTTTTGAGAAAGTAACATATCGCTGGACAGTACCCCCCCACGCTGGCCCTACTGCTCAGGATCCTTCCTGTCTCACCTGGATGTACTTTTCTGCCGTGGATCCAATAAGAGATACAAACTCTGGTCTGGTGGGCCCCCTGCTAGTGTGCAAGGCTGGTGCCTTGGGGGCAGATGGAAAACAGGTACTGCCAGCATTTCTAGCTAGAAAGTCTGTTGAGAGGAGGATAAGGCTGGGTTACTGACTAGGAGTTAAGCGTGGAATTCGGTTCTAGAGATGAGGGAATAGAAAAAAATAACCAAGCTTTGAATGAGACATTAATAATTAGTGACCTCATGCTATCTTGCATGTTATTTTTTCACTCACAAACACATATCTTCCTTAGTCTCTGTTCCCTTCTACTTTATATCCTCTCATCATCTCCTCATGTTTTTTAGCCTCAGTGGCCCCTAACCCTTGCTCCAAATTCCTAATTCTGCTTTAATATTTGGTTGTATTCTTTCACATCCAGCTGTTTCTAGCTGTTTAGCCTTGCATAAGTTACTTAACCTCTCTTTGCTTTAGTTTCCTCATCTGTAGTAAATGGTTTACAATGGAAGAAGATATTTTGGGTTTCTGTGAGGATAATTAAAATAATCCATATGGTGCTTAGCACAGTGTCTGGTACTTAGTATGCATTCAGTAAATGTTAGCAGTAATAATGATAAATAACATATTAATAATTATTATAATTATTTTTTTCTTATTTTCTAATCCCACCAGAGTCCTCCCCTGATTTCCTAGCTACCTTTCCTCACTCCTCCCCAGGTGACTATAGGCTATCTTCTTTCACACTCAATAACTCTTCTCCATAATCCTCATCTTGTGCTTCTTCCTTGCTCCCTTTCATAATTCCTCTCCCACAAGTCTTTTCACTTTATTCAGACATCCTGAACCTACTTGCAATTTGAAGTTACCTGAGGAAAACCTGCCTAGTGACCACTGCAGTTCTAGGCAGGAGATATGGGCTTACTTCTGTGTCTGGAAAAGGAAATGGGAAAGAACCAGAGATATTGTGTTTGGAGCATCACAGTCTACAATTGCTGAAACTGTTGTTATTTATCCCTCTTTTCTCTTCTACTGGGCCTACAGAAAGGGGTGGATAAAGAATTCTTTCTCCTTTTCACTGTGTTGGATGAGAACAAGAGCTGGTACAGCAAAGGCAATCAAGATACTGCTATGTTGAATTCCCGACTAGTCTCAGAGGATGTCATGGGTTTCCAAGACTCCAATCGGATGCATGGTATGGGGACTGAGTGTTTTTGTTCTCAGCTACAACTGAAAGGTTATAAGTAAAATCTAACCTAAACTTAATCATGACCCATCCCTGAAAACACTGATTCCACTGGTCAGCTATGTCCAAAGGATGAGCTAGTTTTAGGGATTAAATCTGACAAAACACCTTACACTTAGCACCTTCTAGTGAGGTGTCCTATGTTACACAGTATGACAGATATTGGATAAAGGTACTGTGAAATGAGGATTGCACACAAGGAATCCACTGTAGACTGAGAAGAGTAAGCTGGAATGACATTTTCCAGTCTTATCTCCTTCATTATCGCCTACTAACTTTGCCCCACAACCCCATACTCCAGTCAAAAAGGGTTACTTTTCTCTATATGGATTTGCCTTTTCTGACTTCATGCTTTGACAATGCTTTGCCCTCCACTTGAAATGCTCCTCCCTACATCTTTGCCCCCAGCCTGGGGAAATTCTTTCCATTCTTTAAGGCCCTACTCAAAAGCTAACTCCTCCATGTAACAAATGTTTTATCACCTAAACCCAGAATGATGACACCCTCTTCTAAACTACTATTGCATTTTTATCAGACCATTTTAATAGCAAGTTCCATGCACTCCCCAATATGATAGTTATTTGTTACATTGCTTTTGACTTCTGCTAAAGTGTAGTCTCCTTAAGGCTGAGTATTGTTTGTAGCTTATCTCCATATCCTCTATACTAATACACAGCAAATGCTTATGAACTAGTGAACTACCAAATTAATGAGGTGGGTTGGTATGTGAGTGAATGAATGGAAAGACACGGTCCCAGTATGCAAGAAGCTCCCAGCATTTTGCAGTGAGATGAGACTAATAACACCCATGAAACAATTATAGAACAATCCAAGACAGACTATAATTGAGTGCTAAATTGTGTGGAACAGGTTTTAAGTGACATAGAGTTAAAAGGAGGAGAACATTAATGAAGAGCAATCTAATTAAAGGATTTCTGGGAGAAGGGAAGGCTTGAGCTGGAGCTTGAAGGCTGAATAAGTTTGCAATCAGACATTATAGGCAGGTGAAGCAGAATCAGGACATTAGCAATGTTCCCATTAGCATCCCAGGGGATTACCAAATAGGGTTACTCATTAAAGCTAGTTGCATTGGATGTGGGGACATTGAAGAGAGCCCAGCTTCAAGCAGGCCTCCTTATATTTTTGAGGGGAGTGTGGAGGGTTGACAAGGCTCAAATACAAGTGTATTGTTGTTTTTTGGCTCCATGTCTTGATTCCAATCACCAGTCAGTTACATCAGCTGGAAAAAGTAAGACAATCCTGAAAACCAAGTTCATTTCAGTTTGTATTTAAGGAGCACCTGATTAGTATCAGGCAACATGTCAGGTGCTTGAGCAGCCACACAGAAACAGAAAATAACAGAAAAAAACAAAAACAAAAACAATGTGCTTGCTGCTAGGTCAATATAGTGTGGGCGATAGATTTGTAAGTAAATCACTGGATTCTGTGGTAAGTAATATGGCAGAATTTTGTGAAAAGTTTCATGGAAACCAGAGATAAAATACTAACTGCTTCACAGGGGAGGTGACTTTCGAGTTGGAGCATAATAGATGAGCGGCAATTTGCTGTAATAGAGACCAGAGGAAAGTACATTCTAGGCAAAGGGAACAGCCTATAAAGTTAACAAGTATATTATAAGTACCTACAATGATTAAGGCTGTGGGCATGTAGAGGCAAATAGAGCTCGCAGGATAATGGTATGTGTATGTGTGTGAGAGGGGGTGGGAGGATAAACTGAAGGCAGGGGTACCAGGGAGGAGGCTTTTACAGGAGTTCAGGCCAGAGACGATGAGGGGTAGAGCCAGGGCAGTGGCAGTGAAGATGAAGAGGAGGAAACAGATTGAAAGGAGAGTATGAAAACTTAGGAAACGTAAACACTTTACAGAGGGATGGAGAATAAGAAGAAGATGGAGGAGAAACAAAGAGGTTGTAAGAGAACTAGGAAAATGTGGTGCTACAGAATCCAAGGGAGAAGAGCTTCAAGGGAGTGGGAATGAGAGAGGTTGGTACTTTTGTGTGTGTGTGTGTGTGTGTGTGTGTGTGTGTGAAGGAGTTGTGGTAATGGAGAGTAATTCAGTTTTGCAACAATGTGTAGCATGGTGGAGGAGGGGCAGTAGGTGAGGCCAGAAAGGCTAGATGGGCCCTCATCCCAAAGAGGCAGATCATATATAAAACTAAATCAACTTAGGGAAGAAGGAAGAGGAGTTGTGGATGACTCAGAAATTTCAAGTTGTGGAAAACCATAGTACAGAGCTGATGCCATGCTGCTGGCCAGTGCCTGAGTAGTCTGTTTTCATCTCCCCATTTTGTCTTGTGTTTTTGTTTTCCAGCCATTAATGGGTTTCTGTTCTCTAACCTGCCCAGGCTGGACATGTGCAAGGGTGACACAGTGGCCTGGCACCTGCTCGGCCTGGGCACTGAGACTGATGTGCATGGGGTCACTTTCCAGGGAAACACTGTGCAGCTTCAAGGCATGAGAAAGAGTGCAGCCATGCTCTTTCCTCACACCTTTGTCACGGCCATCATGCAGCCCGACAACGCTGGTAAGTGCCTTAGCAACTGGCCCTAGGCTAAGAGGCTTTGTTGGGTATGGGGCTGGGTGAAGGGGGCTGGTGAAGAGAAAAGAAGAGTCATATTGATGTTACTTAGGAAATTTTCAAAACACATGTATTCTCCCCTTTAATGTGCACTCCATATGTGATTAGTTAGATTCCCTTCTCAGCTGCAGTCATAATAGAATGAAAAGCTGAGGAAGCTCTTTTCTGGAACAACAAGAGAGGTACAAGGATGCTTCCCAGGGTCAGGGCAATTATTACATAGGCACAGGGTGGACTTAGCCATGTAACCCCTTGGCCATGCAGAGATTCTATAGATACAGTCCTTGTATTGGGAGGGAAGCCCATGAGATGTAACTATAAACACTTCCAACTCTGATATTCTGTCAGAATTTCTGCAAAATTCTGGTGGGTGTTAGGTGGGGGGAGGGGGACTGCTGTAACAGTTCTGCCCAGGAATTGGAACACAGGAACTTCTAGTCCAAGCTCTTTCATTAACTTTCTGTATAATTTTGGTCTAACCACTCCCCATCTCTGTCTAGGTTTCTTTCTTATTTTCTTTCTCTGTCCATTCTTCTCCCTTTCTCTCTCTTCCTCCCTCGCTCCCCTTTCTTTCCTGTTTTTATCCCTTTCTCCCTTCCTTTTCTCCCTCTCCTTCTATCTCTGCCTCTCCCTCTCTTTCTCCTTCTCCCTGTCTTCCTTTCATGAAGAAATTTGACTTGAATATTTTTCCAGATTTCATAATGTAGCAGTAATTTCACTTTGCAGTTCCTAGGGTATATTTTTTTCTAGGCAGTAGGTGGCAATAGTGTTTGTAAGAAAAAAAATCTGTCAGCTCTATGCATTTCCCACTAAACTTTATTTTAGTTCTGTAAATTCCATTCATATTTGAAAAAAAATCCCTAAACAAAACAAGTCTCCGTGATAATTTAACAGCAGTTTTCAACCTGTGGGTCGCGACCCCTTTGAGGGTTGAATGACCTTTTCACAGGGGTTGCCTAAGTCCATCGGAAACCAAAAATATATTTACATTATGATTCATAACAGTAGCAAAATTACAGTTATAGAGTAGCAACAAAAATTATTTTATGGTTGGGGGTCACCACAACATGAGGAACTGTATTAACGGGTCACGGCATTAGGAAGGTTGAGAAACGCTGATTTAATAATTTCAGATTGGCACTGGGCTTGACAAACACTTGACATAAAGCTGCTCTCCACAGACTTCTTGGGTCCTCATTTCTGCCCATCTACTTGGGAGATATATATATATATATATATATATATATATATATATATATATATATATATATATATATATATATATTTGGTCAAGGAGAGTTGTTAGCAAATTAGAAACAACAGTTAATGGAGCTAAAATGAGCACAAGAAACAAGTGTTTTTCGTGAGGCCTGGCATTGGGAACTTCTGAATAAGAAAGACCCTTCTCTCTAGTTTTGGTCCCAAAGCCAAAACCTAGGTTTAATCCCCTTGCTACAAAATTAGCCAGACTCCCCAGTGATGTCTATATGCTTCCCCAGGGTTCACTCTTACTTTGGAAGAATGAAATTATTTTTGTGCTACACTGAGGCCCAAGGATGGTGGCTGTAGATGGGTTTAAAACATTCTGATCTGGTATGGGAGGAGAGGGAATAAATGGGTTTATATTAGTAAAGGCTTGAAAGGTTACTCTGTGTCAAGATTCCTGAATTTTCTTACTAGCAAAAGCCCAAACTCACTTTTCTTTTGCATTTTCCAGAATTTTCAAACTCTCTCCTCTTTCTGAAGATTTCAAAAGTCATAGAATTTTGGAACTGGTAGAGCCCCTTTGAGATAACTTCAATTCACTTATTTTACTAATAGGAGGAAGATACAGAGTCCTGAAGGGGGGAAATGCTTTGTTCTGATTACACATGTTGGCTCTATTTTTCTTCTTTGTCCTCTTGCCCGTTCTCTTTAAACTCCTATTGATTCTTATTCCTTCTTACTCCTAGATGATATCTTGAATCTGAAGTATCCTTCATTCTGCCCCTGGGGGCTTGCTCTATAGTGAATAATATTGTAATAACTATGTATAGTTCTGGGTGGGTACTAGACTAATCTGGGGGATCACTTAAATTACATAAACGTCTAACCATTATGCTGTACATCTCAAACTAAAATAAAATAATATTGCATTATTGAAAATAAATAAATAAATAGATAAATAAATACATGAATAAATAAATAAAAATCTGCTGGGGAAAAAAAAGACTGAGAGAGACCATTGTATGTAGCTCTCCAAAGCACAGGGCAAAATTACTGAGTTAATGGAAAAGACAAGACCAGAATTTGACTTTGGGATTCTAAAGAGAGTAGTAATGATGGGAAATGATAAATATACATATGTAATTAGGCAGCTTTGAGGATGACTTTTAAAAAGCATCACTAGGGAGATTCAATGTGCTGTGTCCTGCAGGCTTATAATTATGTTTAACAACAAAAAGAAAGAAATGCCCAAAAAAATGTTAAAAGTGCTTCAGTCGTGTGGGTTTATTGGTAATTTTTATCCTCTTTTTGTTCTGCTTTAAGTTTTAATATGCCTACATTTCATTTAACAGAAATTACATATTGTATTTAAAAATATCATCCTGCATAATACACCTCAACTCTTCCAATACAACTACTGATACTAGAGCTTTAATAGCAGGGAGAAGTGGCAGATAAAAACACTAGAGCAATGTGTTATTTTCTACCAAATTTATGTTAATTTCTCAGCAGCAAAAAGAAGAATATTTATGACTGCCTTGGTCCCTCAGTGTTTTTTTTCCTCTCTTTTCATCATTAGAGCTCTTTCTTTATTCATTATTCCCCTCTTTCCTTCTCCCCCCCACACCCACCCTCTGTACTTTCCCCTGCTGTTTTTTCCTCTGATCTCACATTTTTCCTCTTCTTCTTTAATCCTTTCTTTTTGTTGTTGCTTTATTTTATTAGTTTCATGTGTACAAAGCAATGTAATAGTTAGACATTTAAACCCCTCATAAAATGATAACCCAAACCCCAAGGTATTACCCCTCTGACATCTTATATAGCTGTTACAATACCATTGACTATCTTCCCTGTGTTGTGCTCCACATCCCGTGACTATATATACCTATATATTTAGTCATAGTTGACATTCAATTTTATTCTACTTCAGCTTCAGGTGTATAGCACATTGGTCAGGCATCTACACAGTCTATGACGTGGTCCCCCTAATAAGTCCAGTGCCCATCTGACACCTTATATGATCTTTACAACATTGTTGATGATATTTCCCATACTGTATTAACTACAAATTTGTATTTCTTAATACCTTCACCTTTTGAAACCCTGCCCCCAACCCCATTCCCATCTATCACCCTGATAGATCTAGTTCCTATCTGGCATCATACCTAGTTATTACAATATTATTGACTATATTCCTCATGCTATAACCTACATCCCCATGACTACTGTATAACAACCAATTTGTACTTTTTAATCCCTTCCCCTTTCACTGGTCCTTTACCCTCCTCCATCTTAAAGAAGTCCCTCTAAGATTCCTTGTAATACTGGTTTGGTGTTGAGGAACCCCTTCAGCTTTTTCTTGTCTGGAAAGCTCCTTATCTGTCCTTCAATGCTAAATGACAGCCCTGCAGGTAGAGCAATCTTGGTTGTATGTCATTCCTTTTTATCACTTGGAATATTCCCTGCCAACTTCTTTCTTGTCTGCAAAGTTTCTGTTGAGAAATCAGCTGACAGCCTTATGGGAGCTCCCTTGTAGGTAACTAACGGCTCTTCTCTTGCTGCTTTTAAGATACTCTCTTTGTAGTTAACCTTTGGCATTTTAATTATGATGTGTCTTGGTGTTGGCTTCTTTGGGTTTATCTTGTTTGGGACTCTCTGTGCTTTCTGGGCTTGTATATCTATTTCCTTCACCAGGTTAAGGAAGTTTTCTGTCGTTATTTCTTCAAATAGGTTTTCAGTTCCTTTCTCTCTCTCTTCTCCTTTTGGTACCCCTATAATGTGAATGTTGGTACACTTGATATTGTCCTGGAAGTCCCTTAAACTCTCCTCAATTTTTTGGATTCATTTTTCTTTTTGCTGTTCTGGTTGGGTGTTTTCTATCTTATTTTTTGCCTCTCTTCTTTCTTTTTCCTCTTCTTTCCTTCTTTTTCTTTCATCTATTTTTCTCTCATCTTGACCCTTGTTTTTTTTTCTTTTTCATTCCCCTCCCTTCTTTATTTTTGTGTATCTTCTTTTCTCCTTTTCCCATTATTTCTTTTCCTTTTCCCTTCCTCCTGTGTTCTTTTATTCTTTTTCTTGTCCTCCAATCTGTATCTTTTCTTTTCTCTCCCATTGTCTTTCTCTCTGTTTTTCCTTTTTATTTTCATTTCCTATTACAATTACATTTTCCCAAAACATAGTAAATATCTGTTTTCTTTCACTTGTTGATCTAGATACTAGGGGTGTAAGGGTGAATGAGACAGCTCACAGTTAGTGTGAAAGGGAGATAGGTATGTAAACAATATTCATAAGGTTATATGATGCTATCTGCCAAAAGCAATGGAAACACATAGGAAGCTATACTAAATTCTTCATGACTTGTGGAGTGAAGCTTTCCTAGGAAAGCAGACATTCAAACTGACTTTTTAAGGATGAATAAACTGTCACCAGGCAAAGAAAGGGATGGGTGTGAAGAGGGCATAATAAGCAGTAAAAACCATATAGACAGCGATTTGGAAACAGTTATGCCTGACGAATATTGTGTAAACTGATTTGATTCAATGTTTTTTGACACAAAGTAATATGCTAAAACATGTTTAGAAATGTGTGGAGGTACTTTTAGTTGTCATGTTACTGGGTATATAAAGAGGCTTATACTGTCATTTAGAGGATGGGAGTCAGAGATGCTAAAACTTTCTGCAATATATAAGATAGTCTTAAGCAATGAAGAATAATCCCATGCAAAATTTTAATAGCAGCCCTGTTGAGGAACACCAAGAAGGGAAGTTTAATGGGAAACACAGCAGGAGGCTCTTGTAAGAGTTGATTAGAGCCCTTCCAATGAGTGGGAGCAATAGGGATGGTGAGGAGGAGCAGAGTTAAGGGATATTTGAGAGAGAAATGACAGGACTTTGCTGAGGTGCTGTGCAAGAAGAAAGGATGCCTGATGTTTCCAGCCTGTGTACTAGATGAACGGTGGTGTCATTAACCAAGTGAGCAAATACAGAAGCAAGAGCAGCAAGGTAGTAAGGTTTGAGTAGAAAGTAATCATTTGGAGGTATGTTGAGTTTTAAGTTCCTGGTGAAATCCAGGTGGGTGGATTTCCAGGAATCCAGGTGGGTGGATTTCACATTAGATAATTGTGGATAGAAATACAGAGCTTGGAGGAGGAGTCCAGGCTACAAAGAGAGATTTGGGTGTTCTCATAGTTCAAGTACATACACATGTAAAATGATAGGAAAAAAAACTTAAGGGAAAAATAAGAACATTTAAGACGTAGAAGGGAGACGAATAGCCAAAATAAGGAGACAAAAAATAATTGGTCAAGAAGGTAGGAGGAGACTCAGACACAAAGGGCAGGAGAATGTTAAAAAGTAAGCGGCTTGACAACAATATTTATATGACAAAACTCAGATAATGTGCTAGTCCAAGCTCACATGCCTCTTCCAGAATGTCTTCTATTTGTTCCCATCCCTTCCAGTGAGAATCGGACTTTCTTCTCCACACCAACCCCTAAGGTATGACTTTTGGACAGTGTATATAATTATTCATTTGCATACACATTCATTTACACAACACATATTTATTGTACACCATTCATATGCTAAGACTAGGGTAGAGAAGGGAAAAGTTAGACAAGATCTTTACTCTAAGGGGAGATCTACAATAAACACATGAAATTCATACATTAAATAATACAGTAATTTCAGATCATGATATGTCATGAAGGAAATAAAACACAACAATGTGATAAAATAATAGGAGCATTACTTTAGTGAGGGTGTTTAGGGAATACCTGTTTGAGAATGTAACATTCACAAAGACCTAAACAATGGGGAGAAAGTAGCTATATGAAGATCTCTGAGCAGAACATTCCAAATAGAGAGACCAGAAAGTGGAAATGTCCTAAGGTGGAAATAAGCATGGCTTGTTCATGTGTCAGAAAGAAGGCCAGTATGTTTGGAATGTAGTAAGCTAGGAGAAAACTGACATGGCAAGAGGACAAAGAGTTTGGCAAGAGCCTTGTCAAGAGGTTGTAAGGTCTTGTAGACCATAGTCAGGAGCTTGGATTGTATTTTGAGTATGAATGGAACATTTAAAGCAAGGGAGCAATGTGCTCTGGATCATATTTGTTAAAGAGGATCCTAGATCCTATATGGAAAATGGTTGATGTAGGAAGGAAAAAATGCAGAGAGGAAAGTTGGGAGACTATTGAAGTGTTCCAGGCAAGAGGTGATGGTGGCTTTGAGTAGGGAAATGAGAGTAAAAATGAAAGGATAATTTTGATGGAAGAGCTGATAGAACTTAATGATGGAATAGATGTGGGGGTAAAGGAAATAGAAGAGTTGGGAAGTAGATATGGAAAGAAAGAGTTGATTTTTTTCAAGAGTCTATAAACTGTTGGAATAAAAAAAAAACAAAACAAACAACACAAAATAAAAACAAGCTCATAGAAACAGAGACCAAAAGGATGGTTGCCAGAAGGAAAAGGAATAGGGGGATGGGTGAAAAAGATGAAGGGGAATATAGTCAATAACACCGTGATAAATTTACAGTGACAGATGTTTACTAGAATTAGTGGGGTGATCATATTGTAAGGTATAAAAATGTCAAATCACTATATTGTACACCTGAAACTAATATAACAAATATAATATTGTATACCAACTATACTTAAATAGAAAATAGAGAAAAAATAAAGAGAGGAGCACTTAGTGCTTAACCATATGGTTTAGATGTAAAATATGTTAGGAATAGAGAGGTCAACAATGTAGAGGTCAATGTGGGCTAGAATAGCCAGGGAGGGCTTCCTGGAAGAGAAGAAACACTAATTGATATTTGAAAATGAGTAAGATCTCATAGATATTTGTTGGGATAGGCAGGCACATTCCTGAAAGGGAGTAACAATGTAAGTGAAAATTCCAACAAAATAGTGAGATATGTAAGAAGGGCAGTCAGGGACAGATTTAGTTGGAGCCCTGCTTGAATCTGGTACATAGTGGGCAGTGGGATTGGATTTATAGTTTGGAGCCAGCTAATAGAAACCTTTGAAAGCCAGGAAGACGAGTTTGCAGTCATGAGATAAGCAGTGGGCAGCAAGGGAAGGAATGATGAAAAAAAATATTCTAAGAAAGTTGGCTTCTTTTGATTAATGTTCTATGAGCCTTGGTTTCCGTGACATAGAAACCTGGGGCTTGAGACCAGGTCCAGACAGCTCCACAGCTCAAATATTTAAGACTTATATCCAAACATTTCATTGTAAAAAGCTAGAGAAAGCCATTTCGAAGCTCACTGATGTAAGCATCCTTGTGATCAAGAAGTTATTTTTTATTTAAATTTTGTGGGGAAACATTGGTTAATAACTTTATATAATTTTCAGGTATACAGCTTTATAATACCACATCTGTATATTCCATTCTGTACTCATCATCCAAAGTCTAGTATCTTTCCATCACCATATATTTGACCCCCTTTACCTTCTTTATCTTTCCCCCACCCCCTTCCCCTCTGGTAATCACCATTCTGTTGTCTGTGTCTATGAGTTTGTTTGTTTTGTTTGTTGCTTTTTGTTTTATATCCCACATATGAGTGAAATCATATAGTCCAAATCCATTTCCATCTGACTTATTTCATTTAGCAAGAAGTTCTTTTTTAATATATCTATTTAAGTCCACCTTTATTTTGTTGCTACTTGGTAGGAAAGGCAGACAACTGGTGAATGCCTTCCTTGGAATAATAATTATAACAGCTTTAGTTATTTATAGCTTCACTTATTGAAAATTCACTATATACTGTGCTAAGAAATGTGTACATATTATTGTGTTTAACTATTCTAAATAGCCCAATGAAGCAACTAAAATTATCCTCATTCTACCACAAGGGAACTGAAACATACAGAGGCTTAAAAATTGCCTCAAGGTTACATAGCTAATGTGTCAAATAGGGTGACCAATCATCCTAGTTTGTTCCAAACTGAGCAGTTTCCAAGGATATGAGAGTGCTAAAACTGGGAAAGCCTTGGGTAAAGGGAGGAGTTGGTCATCGTAGTGGTAGAGTTTAGTGTTAAACCCAAACAGTGTAGCTTTGGAGTCAGAGCCCTAATCTCTGTGCTCATTGCTCTGAATAAACCTGTAATAATCTTATATATAATGCATAGAATAATCTTATCTGAAACTACCCAATCTCTGAAGTATGCCTAGAGAGAAGCAGGAAATACCCCAGGCACTACACAGGAGTATTCTGATTCAGGTTTTGCTCTCTCTTCCTTTCTCAGGGATATTTGAGATTTACTGCCAGGCAGGAAGCCATAGAGAAGCAGGAATGAGGGCAGTTTATAACGTCTCCCAGTGTCCTGGCCGCCAAGCCACCCCTCGCCAACGGTACCAGGCTGCAAGAATCTATTATATCATGGCAGAAGAAGTGGAGTGGGACTATTGCCCTGACAGGAGCTGGGAACTGGAATGGCACAACCAGTCTGAGAAGGACAGGTAAGGCTTCAGAAAAGAAGAGGTAACACTTTCAGAGACACTTGACCATTTTACAGATAAGGAGGATATTGAAATTCTGAAAGAAGGAGACACTTATCTAAAGTCACCTAACAAGATACCAACAAGCCTGGCTCAGGTAGAATGCAGGTAAGGTGGAACTCAGTGCTTCTTCTATATTGCTATACTGTGGGGTTGAAGTAAAAGACCTTACCCACACCCTCATGTTCATCATCTTTGCCTCCTTTTCTCTGGTTAGCCACAAGCACCTATACTGTGACTTCAATTTTATAGAAAACTTACTCAAGGGACTGAATACCCCAAGGTCAGCTGTCCCTTGACAAAATATCATTAAGGTACAGACTAAGATGTATAGCAGAGAAAAATAATAGAGTGGCTTAAATAACTTAGAATGTTATTTCTTACTTACATAATAGTACAAAGATGTGCAGTCTAGAGCCAGTAGGTGAACTAGTCACACATTACTCTTGCTTTCATCTTTGGTACTAAGATGGCTTCTCCAGCTGTAATCATTCTCAGCTATCAAAAAAGGAGAAAGAAGTCCAACGCAAGCAGCATTGTCTGTAAGGTGATGACCTGGAAGTTGCATACACAACTTTCTCTCATACCCCATTATCCTGAACTCATTCATATGGTCATACCTAGCTGCTAGAAATTTTGGGAAGTGTAATCTCTGGTTAGGTAGCCATGTACTCAGCTAAATCCTAGGTGATTCTATTATGATAAAAGAAGGAGGGGAGAATAGAAACTGAGGTACAGTTTAGCAATTTACCACTACCGTTTATGTTTGGTACTCTTACAACACTTTGTCAATTCTTGCCCTTTATGTTGTTCTTTGAAGGTTGAAGCCTACTTCCTAACTTGTCTGCAACCTAGAAAAAGTGACTTCCCTTTTCTGGGCCTTGGTTTACTCTTCTTAAAAGTGAGGTAGTATAGTTCAAAGAACTTGTCTAGGAGATAGGGAAGGAAGAACAGACTTGAATCCAAGTTCTGGCTTCCTTTCTGGCTGACAGTATCAATGAAGATATGTCCTGTCACCTGTGGACCTCTGATTCTATCTCTGGGACATACCTACCTCATCAGCCCGTTGGGAATGTCAAATGATAAAATGAATAATAAAGCTTTTTGTAAACAGAAAAGCGTCCCATAAAGAGAATTCTGTAAGATTCCATTTTCTCCCTATCTGTCCCCATCCCTTACCCTCCAGGAGCAAAAGCAGTTAATACTCTCCTGCCACTTTGTACCTTATCCTTTTGTCAAATGAATTCCATCTAAGACATGAGTGCTGGAGCTAGAGACCAGGGCTTCTGATTCTTATCCCAGTGCTCTTGCCATATAAATTGTACTACAAATTCCTATCTGGATGATGGAAAACAAAAGTATATAAGTAGATATTGAAATCCACCATGTGAAATTGCATTTATGCAGCCAATGTGGTGAGGAATCTGACATTAAAAGGTATAGTCCCCCCTCCTTCTATAAGTGACATGAGCTCAAATCTGATGTAACTTCCTCATATCTGAAAATGAGTACTTGAGGGCCAGGTGCTGATACCATTCTTTGGATTCCTCTAGTTATGGTCACATCTTCCTGAGCAATGAGGACGGGCTCCTAGGTTCCAGATACAAGAAAGCTGTATTCAGGGAATACACTGATGGTACATTCAGGATCCCTCGGCCAAGGACTGGACCAGAGGAACACTTGGGAATCTTAGGTAAGGGAATTCCACTTCCCTCCTAGTGTCTAGGAGCCTGTGCTGCTCCTAGAGAAGCTATGTCATATCAGGAAGGCTTCCCATTCCCCATTATCAGTTGTTCCTTATGATATACTGGAACTATAGTAATATTTTATAAATCAGCCATGATAATAAGCCATCAAAGTAGGGTAATTCATAAATTCTGCTATAATCTGAACCAGGTTTTTCCAGGCCTGTATATCTAGGAATCTCTGAAGGTGATAGTTTTTTTTTAAATGCTAAAGGCAGGGGAATGTAGAAACATCAAAGAGTAGAAAAAATGATATGGGAAACCAGTATTACCCTTGCACCCCAGTTTAATTATTGCTGCTGTTTCTTCATTTTGGTAGGGGCCAATGAATTTCCTCATTCTTGTCTTTGCACAGAAGGGATCCACTGGGATCCTTTAAGAGAGCCCAAAAATTCTGTACTCTGTGTCAAACTCTAACTCCTTATTAAAAATTAATACACAGAGCCCTGATTCTCTAGAACCTTGTGATATTTATATACAGAGAGTTGAGTTGGGGAAAGAGGAGGTACCTGGAGGTATAATCCTATTGTTGAAGTACCCTCATCCTATGGGTAGCATTATCAGCTTAAGGGCTTCTGAATTTAAAAATGAAGCCAATCATGACTTTTGGTCTCAGAAGGATCCTTTCTCAGGGCAAACCCCTCATTCTAGGGAGCTCCTATGTATCTTTCTTTGATGCCGTTTATGTCCCTGTTACACTACTCCACTAATGAGACTTTTCATTCTTTTGCATATCTTAGGTCCACTCCTCAGAGGAGAGGTTGGTGATATCTTAATTGTGGTGTTCAAGAATAATGCCAGCCGTCCCTACTCTGTGCATGCCCATGGAGTGCTGGAATCTAGTACTGGCTGGCCACTGGCTGCTGAGCCTGGTGAGTGGGAATACTTAGTAAAAGTGAAAAGGTTTTGCAGCACTTCTTTTTCAGCCTTCTGTCTTGCTCCTTTAAAAAACATGCTCTTAGAGAACTGAAACAGGAATATTATCCAGGCCAAAGCCACACCCTGAGTTTGTCTCTATGAAATACTCATTCGCTCAGTCTCAGAACAGGCTACGTTAGGTTTTCTGTTTTTTCTTTCAAACACTGTTTTTTGTTTTAACACTGGTTACACATGGAGACTTATACTAGCCTTAACTCTGAATAGAGACTGAGCTTCTAACCCTCTCCAGATCTTAAATTAACCTTGGCTATAGTATGAGCTCCTAATCATGGGTAGAGCATTATCTGTTTCAGACCACAAACTGATTCTTAACCCAAGCCATACATAGAGATTGTGTCCTCTAAGTATAGACTAAACCCTAACCCCAGTCACATAGTAAGCTCCTGATTCTAAATTTAGAGTGACTAGAATCTTGACCACATGCTCTTCCATTCATTCATTGAATAAATACTTACTGGAGGCCTACTGGGTGCAGGAACAATTTTAGAAGGTGTGGATGCAGTGGGATATAATACTTGTTCCTACCCTTAAATAACTTGGGCTATTATTGCAGAGAGACACGCAAGCTGGTAGTTATAATGCATTGTTTTAAGTGTTACACAGGGCTTTTAAAGTGTGCTAGAGAGATGTAAAAGAGGGTACTTAATATAATGTTTGGATGGTCAAGGATGGCTTCCCCGAGTAGGTGATATCTCAACTAAGATCTAAATCAGCAGTCCTCAAATTTTAGCATGCACCAGAATCACCTAGAAGGCTTGTTAAACAATATATTTCTTGGATCAGCTCCCAGAGCCTCAGATTTAGGTGTGAGATGGAACTCAATAATTTGCTATTTCAAACAAATTGCCAGGTGATTTTGATGTTGCTGGGTCAGGAAGTATACTTTGAAAACCATGGATCTAAAGGTTGAGAAAGAAGCCTAGAGGTAAAGGGATCATGTGAAATAAAAGCAAGGAGAGGGAAGTTCCAGATGTAGGGAACACAATGTGAAAAGACCCAGTAGAAAGAGAGATGAACGCTGGAGTAGAGGAAAGGGGATAGGTTCTAAAAAGATCAGTGAGGTAGAATCAACAGGATTTAGTGATTAATTGGATAATGAATGTGAGAAAGAGAAGAATTCTTGAACAAAACCCAAGATTTTGGAGGAAAATTCTGAAATGTTGCCCCAGTTTTGGGCTTGGAAAACCATGTAAATAGTGATGCCATTCACAAAGATAGGAAACATGGGATGGAGCTGAGCTGGGATGGGGGAGATCGGATGATGATGTGTTCACTTTTGAATTGGTTAAATTTGAAATGTCTGTAAGGCAACCAAATATAGATATCTAACAGATATAAAGCTCTGGAGCTCAGGAGAAAGGTATGATCTGAAGGAATGATGTAAGAAATATCAACATTTAAGTAATAATTGAAGGCAAAAGAATGAACACAGTCACCCTGGAAAAGTATACAAAATGAGGCAGTAAGTATTCTAGGATAAGACCCTGAGGAAGACCAAATTTTAAGGGAAGTACTCATTGAAAAGTAAGCTTGAGAAAAAGTAAGCAAGATGTTAGAAATAAAACCAGAAGAATATAGTATTAAAAATGTTAAAAAGGAAATCATTTCAAGAATGAGGTCAACAGTTTTAGCTGCTTCAGAGAGGTTAAATAAAATCAGAATGAAATATTTCCCATTGGCTATAGCAAAAGGGGAACATTTCTCATTTAACATAGCAACAGGGGAGTGGCTGGCAATTTTAATAAATTGGCAGGAATAGAAGACAGATTAGAATGGACCAAAGAGTAATTGGAAGATGTGGGAGTAGAAACAGTGAATGTGGTTTAATTTTAAGATTTAGGGAGAACAATTTCAGATGATGAGAAGGTTTGGGGCTTCACACTGGAATTGAGATCAAGGAACTGATAGGCTAGAGTGTTGGATGAGTCATCCACATAGACTTTGAAGTCACTCAGAAGAATGTGGGAGATTGGAGTGGAAAGGAAGATGGTGATTCAGGTACTAAAATAATATATTACTAAAAGCATAGAAGGGATACATTAGAAGCAAGGAAACCAGTTAAAAGGTTGTTGTAGTAATCCATACAAGTGATTATAATAACAAAAGTGGTAGGACATGACGATTGAGAGAATTAGATAGGTCTGAGATATGTAAGGGAGAATCAATAGGATATGATGATTAAACAAATGTGTAGGATATAAGAGAGATTGTGGAGTTAAGGGTAACAAACAAATTTTGGATTAAGCACCTGGATGCTGCTACCACTCACAAAGAAGATAAGAAATGCAGAAGGAGGGGTGTTTCTCTTTGTTTATTTAGAGGGGAAATATATTAAGTTTATTTTTTAACATCTTGAATGTGAGGTACCTCTAAGACATCCAGGTGGAAGTGAGAATGCTTATAAGAATGGATGTTATACTCAATTTGAGTATGGATTTGTAATTTGGCAGAGACACCTGGAATAGATATAGTGATTTAGCATTCATCAGTAACTACAGTAGATGATAGTTAAATCATGATGATATATGAGATCTTCCAGTTAGATAGTGTGTAGAGTGACAATAACATTAAGCTGAGAATGAAACTTTGGAAAATACCGTTATTTAAGAGGAGGTTATCTACCTTAAAATACTTTGTAGATTTAAAGCAGTTCTAATCAAAATCACAATTGGACAATTTTGTACTTAAATGAAATGATTGTGTGTAAAGTTCATTTAGAAGAAAAAGAATACCTGGACAAGAATAGCCTATATATATTTTAAAAGATTAATGAGAGAAGACTAACACAACTCAATAGTATAGCATATTATAAAGATATAATAATTAAATCAACACAGTACTGTAAAAAAATCAATAGGGCAAAATAGAAATCCCCAAAATAGACCCAAACTTCTACTTTTGTCAATAGCAGTGGAAATACAACTACTCCATTACTAGTCCACACTTCTTCCTTTTACCTTTATTCTTAAAGCTCCTCACAAGGAAGATAATATTAATCTTATTAGTCAGAACCCAGGATGTTTGTTGGGCAATGTTTTACAAGTGGGTGGGGTTACTGTTTCTTTCATTAAGTACTCTCTATTGCACTGCCTGCTTCCATGTGGTGAGTTGACCTGTGACTGTAACTGGGTGAAGTGGTTATGTGAGTTAGGAAAATGCCAACACTGCAGATACAGCTATCTTACTTTGAAGGGGCTAGAAAGAGGAAGCCTTGCTTAGGCCTTCAAGTCAAAGCTTTGTTTTTCAACTCATCTGTTATCAGAGCTCTGCAACATGGATTGTGGACACTGGCTTATCTATTAAAGAAGTGGTACTTTAATTTTCATTTGGCTAGTATTTTTATATTAGTTTCAAGTGTACAAAACCACGTAATGATTAGACATTTACACTCCTCACAAAGTGATAACCCCCCCCAAGACTACTACCCCTCTGACATTGTATACAGCTGTTACAATACCATTGACTATATTCCCTGTGCTATATACTTTACATCCCGTGACGATATACGCATATATAGAGAGGCTGCCAAAAAAAGGTATACACATTTTAAGAATGGAAAAAAACTGTATTAAAGTTGTAATACTCATTATATACAGATAACAAAAGATGAACACAGGTCACGTTTGACTTCTGCAATTACAAGAGGTGCTCAAAGTGGTTACCATCAGTGCCCAGACACTTCTGATTATGGTGAACTACTGCTTGAGCAATAGTGACCAAAGTGTCCACTTGTGTACATTTTTTGGCACCCTCAGTGTGTGTGTGCGTGTGTGTGTGTGTGTGTGTGTGTGTGTGTGTGTGTATTAATTATAGTTGACATTCAATATTATGTACTTCAGCTTCAGGTGTATAACGCAGTGGTCAGGCATCTACACAGTCTATGAAGTGATGCCCTTGTTAAGCCCAGTGCCCATACATAATCTTTACAACAGTATTGATTATATTCCCCATACTGTACTTCATTTCTCCGTGAATATATCGTGACTACTAATTTGTACTTTCTAATCTCTTTACCTTCTCCCCCATCCCCAGCCCCCTCCCATCTATAAACCATCAGGGTTTTTTTCTATATCTCTGAAATGCTACCATTTGCAACAACATGGTTAGACCTAGAGCATATTATGTTAAGTGAAATAAGTCAGACTGAGAAAGACAAATACCATATGATCTCACTTATATGTGCAATCTAAAGAACAAAATAAATGAGCAAACACAACAGAAATAGACTCTGAAATTATATTTTTTAATATTTTGCCATTGTTCTATTAAATTGTTTTTTGTTGTTAAATTTATTTTAAAGTAGTTTTAAAATATACTTTGGAAACAGATCATTCATTAAATATGTTGCAATTATTTTCTCCCTGTCTGTAATTTTAACACACTTTAATTTTAGAGCAGTTTTTGATTCACAGCAAAATTGAGCAGAAACCACAGAAATGCCATATATGCCTTGCCCCCACACATGTATAGCTTTCCACACTATCACTATCTCATATCAGAGGGGTGCATTTGTTATAATTGATTGTCCTACATTAATACATCATTATTACCCCAAGTCCATAGTTTACATTAGGGTACAGTCTTGGCATTGTACAGTCTATGAAAAGTCTATGGCTTTTCACAAATGACATGTGTCCACCATTATAGTATCGTACAGAGTAGTTTCCCTGACTTAAAAATCCTCTGCGTTTCACCTCTTTATCTATCCATCCCCTATTATCCCTAGCAACCACTGATCTTTTCACTATATCCATAGTTTGCTTTTTTTCCAGAATGTTATGTATTTGGAATCATTTAGCATGTAGACTTTCCAGATTGGCTTCATTAAAGTTCTCCCATATCTTCTTATAGCTTAATAGCTTATTTCTTTTTATCACTGAATAACATTCCATTTTCTGGGTGTATCATAGGTTATTTATTTGCTCACCTACTG